CATACTGCTTAAGAATGTTTATTTGGAAAGGAAGACCATGAAGAAAAGTAACAAAATGTTTATAATAAAAGACACATTAATGATTAACCCTTAGAGAGAGGACATTAGGACAGGAGCAGAGCCAAGGGATAAGATCCCTGGGCTGCTAGCTATGCTCTGTTTTTTGGCCAGGACTGTAGTGTATGGATGCTTATATGCTCATTTTATAACTATATATATATATATATATAGTATATGCATATATACTACACACACATATATGTATATATATATTATAAATGTAAGCAAACAATACATGTAATATATCTATTTATATGTTTTTCTGTATAAATTTTACAAAAAAGATGGTTTTAATCAAGGAAGCTTGCAAGCCCATGGTTATGTATGGCATACTAAAGAGCAGGGACCTTAACCTTGTATGTGCCACAGATCATTTTGGAAATCTGAGAAAGCCTATAAACCCTTTCTCTGAATGTTTTAAAATTCATTAATAAATGAGTAGGACTAAAAAGAAAGCCAATTATGTTAAGATATAGTTGTCAAATATTATAAATTTATTGATGATATAGTTACATATATGTTTCTTTTTTAAACCTAAATTACAAGACCCAACAGTGGATTAATAGCCACCAAAATCTCAAACTAGAAACATATATATAGGATATTGAGGGATTTATGTAGCAACTGCAATGTGATGTAAAAATGTGTAATTTCTATTGGTGACACAGTCATGAGAACTAATACCACTGTGGTTTGTTTCCTTACATCTCTGTTAATTGTAGAAAATTCTAAATTTTAGTTAGAGTTTAATGAAAATAGAAATGTAATTTTTCTCATCCAGGTTTTGATTAAAAGCCTGGATTTCATGAAAACTATGCATTGCAATCGGTTCTTTTGGTGACAGGACACCTTCCTGCATTAGAGGATTTTCTCCAGTCTGGTGGAGGCTTTCCTGGATGTCTGGGTCGGAAGTAGTGCCAGAAATGGAATCACACTACCCACAGTGTTCCACAACCAAAAGAAATCCTGATGGATGAAGTTGAATTTGACACAGTATTTTAATGAGTAGAATAAGTGATTAAGAGGAAAAACGTCCCCTATCTGTATCTTGAACAACTCCAATCACCTCCTTAATTCCCTCGAGATATAAATCTGATGTCACATAATGCATATTTCTATCACCAGTCCTTTGATTTAAAGTTTTCAATAAACACTCTAACAATTTGCAATGGAATTGATTCTTCTTTATTGGATGATAAGTAATTAAGGGAGAAAAAGCATAAAAATATAAAAAGATTAGGTTTAAAGTACTATGTGGATGGAGAATAGATATAGAATATACACTTTCAAAAAAGGTTATAAGGAACACGGAAAAGAAATTTAAAAAAAATAAAATGTTATAAAGAATCAAAGTAAATTTAAGGTGGCATCTGCTTAGTACTCTCAATAAAATGAAAATAAATCTATCTAAAGTAGATGCAAAATAAGAGAAGACAACAGAGTGGTATGGAAGATGTTTAAAGAAACACAAAAATGCCATTGATCATTTTAGAATGTCATTATAACTAATAAATAGGAGTGTTGACATTGCGAACAATTCACTCTATGATACACAAAATAAGTTTGAAAGGCTTTCCCCAAAATAACAGGGGATAGACAATGACAAAAAAGGATAACAAGAAGGCTACACAGTTAAGATGTTTGATACAGATAATTTATATTTCTGAATTAGAAACCAGGGAAGTGTTGAGTTTGAGACAGTACAGACAAAAGGTTGATATCCAGGATCTATAAAGAACTTCTCAAACTCAACACACACAAAACAGATAATCATATTAAAAAATGGGCAGAAGACATGAACAGACACTTCTCCAATGAAGACATACAAATGGCTCTCAGACACATGAAAAAATGTTCATCATCACTCGCCTTCAGGGAGATTCAAATTAAAACCACATTGAGATACCACCTTACACCAGTTAGAATGGCCAAAATTAGCAAGACAGGAAACAACGTGTGTTGGAGAGGATGTGGAGAAAGGGGAACCTTCTTACACTGTTGGTGGGAATGCAAGTTGGTGCAGGCACTTTGGAGAACAGTGTGGAGATTCCTCAAGAAATTAAAAATAGAGCTTCCCTATGACCCTGCAATTGCACTACTGGGTATTTACCCCAAAGACACAGATGCAGTGAAAAGAAGGGCCATCTGTACCCCAATGTTTATAGCAGCAATGGCCACAGTCGCCAAACTGTGGAAAGAACCAAGATGCCCTTCAGCGGACGAATGGATAAGGAAGATGTGGTCCATATACACTATGGAGTATTATGCCTCCATCAGAAAGGATGAATACCCAACTTTTGCATCAACATGGACAGCACTGGAAGAGATTATGCTGAGTGAAATAAGTCAAGCAGAAAGAGTCAATTATCATATGGTTTCACTTATTTGTGGAGCGTAACAAATAACATGGAGGACATGGGGAGATGGAGAGGAGAAGGGGGTTGAGGGAAATTGGAAGGGGAGCTGAACCATGAGAGACTATGGACTCTGAAAAACAACTTGAGGGTTTTGAAGGGGTGGGGGGTGGGAGGTTGGGGGAGCCAGGTAGTAGGTATTAAGGAGGGCACGTATTGCATGAAGCACTGGGTGTGTTGCAAAAATAATGAATTCTGTTACGCTGAAAAGAAATTTTTAAAAAATTAAAAAAAAATAAACACCTGAAAAAAAAAAAAGAAACCAGGGAAGTGGAACAGAATCAGTTTTGAAATCTGTAATTACAGAAACATTCCTTGTACTGAAGACAAAATCAAACCCTCAATTTGAAAGCCTTCACTGGGTAGCAATCAAAATAATTAAAAGAAAACAACACCCAGGTATGGCAAAATGATGTTTTCATTAAGTAGCAATTCTAAAAACATTTAAGGGAAAACAAACTAATGATTTTTAAAGGGTTATTTCACAACAAGCAAAATCAGGGTAGCCTCAGTTTTTGAACATTAAATATCAGGATCTACTTCTCGAGAGAGTCATGAAATTAAAACTCTGAGTCAAAAAAATCTAGTCCAATCCAACCTACTCATGTTTTCTATTTAGCAAAGGAAATAAATTCTTGTAAATGCAACATAGAAAGTTTCATGCAAGAAGAAAGAAGAAATGACTAATGGTAGTGATTTACCAAATCAAGAGATAAATAAAATAGAATTTATGAAGAGGTAAGCCACAGTTTAAAAGGATTTTTAGTGACTGTTGAAACCATTAAAGAATTTTCTAATTAAAGATTGATGTTTATGTGTCTATTCCCCTACCATATCCAAATATCAGAGGACACATCCTAAATAGAATATGTGCATATGTGTGCCTGTCTATATACATGTAATAACATATTTAATATTTAAATATATATAATAAAATCATAGAGCACTAGAAAAAATCATAAAGAATTTTCAGAAATTTCAGGAAGAAAGTAAAGGGATATAGGCAGACAGAAACATTAAATTATAATCCAATGTCAGACGTAAATGCTATTCTTTCTTGGGAAGTCTAGCAAAGAACCAAGAATTTTTTATTATTATTAGCATATAATGTAATATTCGTTTCAGGGGTACATGTCTGTAATTCATCAGTCTTACATAATACACAACGTTCACCACAACACATACCCTCCCATGGGTCCATCACATTTTTTAAAAATAACCAGGTAGTGTACGGAAGTGTTGAATCACCATATTATATACCTGAAATCAATATTATGCTGTATATTATCTAACTGGAATTAAAATAAAATCTTAAAAACAAAAACCAACCAAACAAAAAATAGCCCAGGGGAACCTGAGTTGCTCAGTTAGTTAAGCGTCTGACTCTTGATTTTGGCTCCAGTCATGATCTCAGGATTGTAAAATTGAGCCCCACGTCAAGCCCGCATTCAGCATAGAGTCTGATTGAAATTCTCCATATTTCCCTCTGCCCCTCCCCCATCTAAAAAATATAAATAAAAATAAATAATTTTTTTTTAAATAGTCCAAACATCAGAAGCAAGTGCTATTCTTTCTTGGGAAGCCAACAGAGAATCTGAACTGGAGACAGATGGTTTGGTCAGGTGTGTCCCCATCTACATCCCCATCCACATCCCTTGTGTACATAGAACAAGAGCGAGGACAAAGACCCAAGAACTGCTCTCTAGAAGCAATGGGGTATACAAGGGCCTGAGAAGCAGAACAGAGACTAACTGCAGATACCCACAGGAGATGAAACAGAAGGGAGGATCAAGGAAAGAGTGTGGAGAGAAAGCAGTTCTCTCAGGATATAAATGCAATGAGGAGCTCTTGTCTGGTCAAAGTACTCCTCACCATAGTGACTGGGGATGAGGATCCCCACCCCGGCTGCTTTCCGCCCTGAGGGCCTGGAGGGAGGTCTCTCTACTGATAGAGCTCACCGCCAGATCTCCCATCTGGAGAAGTATTGGTTGGTATAACAAGCACACAAACATGCAAAGAAAACCCTTGAAAACCGATTGAAGTCAACCTATCTCACCTTCAACTAAGGTCCCATATCCTGAAGAGAAAAAGCACAATAAGAGACAGGGTGAAAAATAAATCAAACTCAAAAGAAATAGAGATGATTCAAAGAACAGAACTGAACCTACAAAAATAATCTAAGCTGTGTTCTTAGAGAGTTCTATGAGGATATTATATCTATATATTAAGTCAAAGCTGCTACAAAAATAGAACAATCATAAAACAAGAAAATTTTAGAAATTAAAGATTGCAAATATAAAATTTGAGGAAATTTTTTGTATGTATAGTAAAAGTATAAGGATGTGGAAAATATGCTTCAAAAACAAAAAACTGTTAGAGAACTTGAAGATTAATATTGCAGATTCAATATTTATGGAATGAACAAGAATTCTAAGAGGAGAGAGAAAAGGCAATGAAATCTAATGTAATATGAAATAAAAGCTTAGAAGAGCAATTTTTTCAGGCTAGACATGTAATGTTACCTACGGAAGACCACTGAAGAGTCATCACAATCAGGAGGGGCCCATCCTTCTTTACACTGACACTGGAGATCATGGTCACACACCTAGAGAAGACAAGATCTTATTAGTTCCCACACTAGGCTGACCACCAACCCAGGGGCCCTATTCATCAGAAGCTAACCCTTACTCTGTAGCCTTTCAGCTATCTACATAAATGTATGAATCCATCGTAGGGATGTCAATACCAAGTTTTTAGAAGAAATTCTTTTCACTGAACCAAACTACTGAGCATTAAGGCAAACTTAATAATTTTAATTTAATGCTGAAACATTACTTCAGCATTATCGAGACTGATCTAAAATTACAAAAGATTCAGCAAGATTGGGGAAGCGTTGTCAAAACTTACAGCATGTCCTTTGCACTTGGAGGAGCAATTGGTTGATTTGTAGGCTCTTTCAATATCTACACATTCTGCATTAATGCAAACCTGAAAGTGATGTGAAAAACATCAAGCTGACATCAATACCTAATGGCTTCAGCTCTGCAAATTGCTGACTCTTTGGAATTTAGTCTTCTATTATTAGCCATGATTGTTGCCCTTTTATTAGGGAAATCACAGCATTCTTTTGGAAATAAGAAGATGAAACTAGATAATTTTTGTTAAAAATTTTTTGGAAAGTCCTCTAAAGGATATTTCCTTACTTTACTTTATTCCTCCTGAGTCATTCCCTTAATCCACCTCTTCAGTCCATGCCTGAGACTGATATTTAGCACTGAGCTAAGCATTGCATATGATACAAAGCACCCATTCCAAACAAAAATATTATGGAAAACATGTTAATATCACATCATCTTCAATATTGCAGTAACTATCATTTATATAAAAATAAATAGTATTGTTATTATTCTCTTAATTATTATTATCAAGGTGGTTATCATTTATTGAGAACCTACTGATTTGGGACAATACAATTTACCAAGTTTTAATAACCCAGTACTTAAGCACATAATAGTTACCTATTAAGCAGTATTGAAGGGATGAGTGGACGCATGCATAAATGAGTGGTGCTAAGTATTGCTTTGAAAACTGTGCCCCATAAAACATAAGGAGTCCTTGAGAAGCAAACAAACAAAACAAAACAAAAAACAGGACAAAAGAACACTTTGATTAAAAGTGTTTCAACTTTGATTAAAACTTTTCAACTTACCTTCTTGTTTCCACACTTGGTTCCATTGGCTACCATGCCTACTTCTTGACTGCTGTCTTCAGGTTCAAATGTTTTACATGTCAGGAAAGTTACAATATGTCCTCTCCAAGGCAAAGTATCTGACCCACCTTGACAGAACAACTTCCCACACATGGCATCACTGAGGAAGAGTCAAATTTGTTGCAGTTGAAATACCAGGATCCTAACTGCAGTTCTCTGCAGTTCTAAATCACCTCCCAGACCATCAATATTTAACTCATCATATTTCTCCCCATAGCAGAGACTCCTAGTTCTCCCTTTATGTCAAATTTCCCCTTGTTCTTCAGTAATAGAACCACCAAACATTAACAAGGCACATTGTTGCTTAAAAACAAAACCCACATTTCTCAGATTCCTAGGCAGCTAATTTTGGTCAATTGCCTAAGTTCTGACCAATGGGGAGGAAGCAAAATCTTATGTGTAAATTCTTGAAGGGGGCATTACATGAAGGAGTATGTCCTGCTCCTCACTTTTTTCTCTTTTTGTCTCATTGGAATGCAATGACTGCCGCTGCAGAAGCCATGACAGACCAAGAGAAACACCTGGAAATGAAGGTCATGTTTGAGCTATAAAGAGGAAAGACATCATGGAGGGCACGTGGATATTTCTATTTTGTTTCAACTAAAGTTACTTTATTTTCATGAATTGCAGCATATTAAGTCTCCCAACTATAGCTGTGTCTACATAAGGCTGAGCCTTGGGTGACACTCGAAGACATCATGTAGGGTTCCTAAAAGAACTGTCTCTCTGCAAATAATGATGAAACAGCTCAGCACTTAGTAAAGCCATTCATTCACTGCCAAGGTGAATAAAGTCAGGTCCAATAAAATTGGAGTCAATCACTTTATGCAGAATTCTGAGGAAGTCTGTGAAAAACTACTCTGAGAGGGACAGAATCAGATTCTCCTGATGTTTCTGGCAACTGTTAGCAAATATGACAGAGGAGTGGAGAAAGGCACACATTCTCTCCAAACTTGAAGAGGCATTTTTCTTGAATCACTTAGGTAGAGCTTTTACAAGGAGGGCCTAGAGCACAGAGAATTTCAGGTCCTCTCTCCACTACAACCGATGACTATTCAGAAGTGACTAGGAGGTCAGCCTGTGGAAAGAATGACATGTTTGTGCCTCTAGTTGGAGGAATGATCCAGGGATCATACAGTTATTCAGGACAATGTGTGCACCTGCTACAGAGAGAAGTGGAACCACCTTACTCTCTTTCCTGCTTGCTGCCTCTTGAACTACATATTGGTTCCCAGAAGATACATGCATTGCTTTTTACAAAATTGTTTTGCCTTTTGAATCTGCCCTGATTTCTTATAAAGGAGAGACCATGGAATATTTTTATCCTTTAGGCTCAGACTCTCCAAAGGAAGACTCTCTGTCTGAAATATAGCTTGGTAATATTTATCATCTGGAAAAATCACTGTTTAATAGAAAAACTTTGAGAAACATTAATCTTGTTCAGTTTCTTATTCCACATTATTTAGTATGTGTAAAATTTGGAGAAGATACTCAGTTTAATCCATTATAATTTGAATTTTAAAAGTCATCTTGAAATTATAGAATCAAAAAAACCTTATACAAAGATATCAAGTCCATTGTTTATGATATTCAAGAAATTTATTTTACAGAATATCAATACAAAAAGTAAAACAAATTCTCCAGGTGAATTGTCCATCTTTTCTCTTACTGTTTTTTCTTAGATAATGCCACGGCAACCTTAAATAAAACCAGATGAGCATTGTATTGGTTATTCCTCTGAGTAGATAAATATTTACACTCCTAGAACCATAACGAAACACCTAGATGGAAAAGTTCCTAAGTTATATTGGAAAATCCATGTATAGACTTCCAGACATGCCCATTCACTGCTGCACGTTCCATCCACACATTCCCTTTATTTCACAATGACTGTACGTGTCATCCAAAGCACCCACCATGAGGCACTGGAAAAAGGAATTCTTTCTGATTTGTATTTTAACTTAGTGCCTAGTCTAAAACACAGCACATAATCATCACCCAATGAATGCTTATCAAATGAATGATGTCCAAATTAACTTTTGCTTTAACTGGAATAAATCAGAACATGTGTCTGAAAGTGAATGATTTCTCTAGTCTATGGGGCAGGAAGGTTCGAACAACAAGGCCACTTACGTTGATTTGCAGGGAATGTGTGTGTCATCCACTTTGCGACAGTACCCATACTTTGACCCACCTTCATTCCTGCTGTAACACGATTTGTCTGCAACCTTGGTCCCTTGAACCAGGCATGGTCAGTAGGGACATATTAGAAAAGAAAAGAGATAAGATATTCAGTGCTACAAAGGATTAATGAAATATAAAATTAATGAAATATATAGCATGAGAATTACTTTTCTGGCATAATCCCATTGACCATTGTCAGAAATACAGGTTGGAATAGTTTTGTTATTTAGAAAGCTAGCTAGAATTTAAAATACTCTTTTAGGAGCATCTGGGTGGCTCAGTTGGTTAAACATCAGACTCTTGATTTCAGTTCAGGTCATAATCTCAGGGTTGGGAGATCGAGCCCTGGGACAGGCTCCCTGCCTCAGCTTGGAGTCTGCTTAAGATTCTTTCCCTCTCTCTCTCCATCTTCCTCCTCCCCCTCACACACTCTCTCTCTCTAAATAAATAAAATATTTTTTAAAAAATAAAATAAATGAGCCTTCAAATTTTTAACTTTTGAATAATGGCTATCTAAATATTTAGAAATGTGGTTGATTTGCTGAAGATTCAAAAAAAATCTAAATATGAAGACTGAGCTAGGAGAGCCACAATCATTAATCATATTAACAGCCCACAAGCAGACATTGGGAAGCTCTTCTGATAATACTTGCTACTGTCACAATTACTTGCTATGCTTGGTCAAACTTCTGCTTTGTGCAGGCACAGCAATAGGCATCACATATTTAATTGCTCATGCAATCTTCTTTATATCCCCATCAGATGAGCAGTAGAATACAGTGGTTAAGAGCTCAGAAGCTAAATCACAGCTGTGTGACTCTGGCCAACTGCCTTAACCTCTAGGTTTATCTGTAAGCTGGAATCATTTTAAATAAATTTCACGTTCCAAAGTCCAAGATGATAAAAAAAGTTTTATTATCATATTTTCTTAATTATTTGATCTTAGGAACATTTATAGGCTCCTTATTATTATAATAAAATATCTACATGAAAAATTTGGTTAGTCATGAATGATAAGGAAAAAGCATGCTCCTAATCCCAAACTTCAGTTATTGCTGCTAATATTGTGAAAAGCATCATTCATACACACAGTACCACACTGCTTCCCAAATAACAAGTATACTTGTCCTTTTCCCTGGCACTAAATATTCAGCAGTATCATGGCTGTAAAAATTGCATTGCATGAATACTCTATCATTTATTTGACTAATGCTTATTCTTTGACTTTGAGATGTCTCACAATTATCCATTATCAATTTTAAAAGTGTTGGGTGATGGTGGTTCACAGACCTGTACCCCTAGGGCTAATAATACATTACATGTTAATTAAAATAAAATACTTAGGGGAAGGCAAAAAAAAAAAAAGTGTTGGGTGAAAATCCTTTGTGAAAAAATATTCCTAAAAACACTTGCTGGGGAAAGCAGTACCTTTTCTTTTTAGGTTTTACATACATTTTTCCAATTCATCCTGGAAAGACTGTGCTAATTCATGTTTTTACTGGAGTGTGTAAAAGTAGGTGCTTTGCCACATCTTCACTGACACTGAGCATTAACTATATTAAAGTTTTGCTAATCTGACAGGTGTTGAAGGAATCAACTTTTCAATTGTATTTCTTACTATATTTGCATATCCTGACACATCAATGTGTCAGTACTTCATACTTCTTGCTAGTGAGCTAAAATGATTTAAATGTTTTTTAGACATTTGTATTTCTTCATGACAAATTACCTGTTAATGCCTTGTTCACATTTCCAATATTTGGAACTACAAAGGGTTTATAGAAATGATTTGATATTGAAGAGGGTGATCTCCCTCCTTATATATGTTATTAGACTTTTCAAACCTTGAGGATTAATTTGAAATAAATTTGTGATCCCTTATAAATTACAAAATTTGAAACTTATTTATTTTCAGCGTAACAGAATGCATTGTTTATGCCACACCCAGTGCTCCATGCAATACGTGCCCTCCTTAATACCCACCACCTGGTTCCCCCAACCTCCCACCCCCCACTCCTTCAAAACCCTCAGATTATTTTTCAGAGTCCATAGTCTCTCATGGTTCAGCTCCCCTTCCAATTTCCCTCAACTCTCTTCTCCTCTCCATCTCCCCTTGTCCTCCATGTTATTTGTTATGCTCCACAAATAAGTGAAACCATATGATAATTGACTCTCTCTGCTTGACTTATTTCACTCAGCATGATCTCTTCCAGTCCCGTCCATGTTTCTACAAAAGTTGGGTATTCATCCTTTCTGATGGAGGCATAATACTCCATAGTGTATATGGACCACATCTTCCTTATCCATTCGTCCGCTGAAGGGCATCTTGGTTCTTTCCACAGTTTGGCGACCGTGGCCATTGCTGCTATAAACATTGGGGTACAGATGGCCCTTCTTTTCACTGCATCTGTGTCTTTGGGGTAAATACCCAGTAGTGCAATTGCAGGGTCATAGGGAAGCTCTATTTTTAATTTCTTGAGGAATCTCCACACTGTTCTCCAAAGTGCCTGCACCAACTTGCATTCCCACCAACAGTGTAAGAAGGTTCCCCTTTCTCCACATCCTCTCCAACACATGTTGTTTCCTGTCTTGCTAATTTTGGCCATTCTAACTGGTGTAAGGTGGTATCTCAATGTGGTTTTAATTTGAATCTCCCTGAAGGCGAGTGATGATGAACATTTTTTCATGTGTCTGAGAGCCATTTGTATGTCTTCATTGGAGAAGTGTCTGTTCATGTCTTCTGCCCATTTTTTGATATGATTATCTGTTTTGTGTGTGTTGAGTTTGAGAAGTCCTTTATAGATCCTGGATATCAACCTTTTGTCTGTACTGTCATTTGCAAATATCTTCTCCCATTCCGTGGGTTGCCTCTTTGTTTTGCTGACTGTTTCCTTTGCTGTGCAGTAGCTTTTGATCTTGATCTTGATCTTGATCTTGATGAAGTCCCAAAAGTTCATTTTTGCTTTTGTTTCCTTTACCTTTGGAACTTTTTTAAAGCTAATCTGAATCTCTGATCTTTTATATGGGCAACCTTTAAATGTGTGATTTAAAAGATCTTCCCTATTCCAGTATCAGATGAATATGTTCAACATTAATTCAATAATTTTGAACATTTATGAAAGTCAGGCAATGTGCTGGAACACACTGGGAAGGCAGTAATGAACAAAATACATAGTGTCTAGGTACTGGGAAATCTACAGATTTGCAGGCATGGCAGATAGTGAAGGGTCAGACAAAAGGAGAAGGCAATTGTGTTTACTGCAGTGATTTATTACTTGATAATAAAGAAATGCTCAGAACTTCAACTCTGTGCAGAGAATTTTTCTTTCCCTAGATTTCTGCTGTATACCAAAGTCAGTCAAGGAAGCACAGAATGTTTCTTTAACCCACAAAGCCATCTCTGTTTCCACCTGTAACTTAGCATGTGAGGCTGCATGATCTGTAAGTGAGAGGATTGCTGAGGCCAGACTCCTGCCCGCCGGTGCACTTGCCCACACACAAATGGTATCAAGCTTTGCTCCTCAGATTGTGTCTCAGCCCACCCTTGCCTGATACGAAGGATTTATTTTTATTCAGAAATTTTTCTAAATTCTAATCCATGTATTTTTCAGGTTTCTTTTTTATTGGGTATATTGTGAAACAGTGATTTTTGTTATTTCCTTTATCTTGCTTTATGTATATTTTTGAGAATTATGGAAGGTTCCTGGTATGTGCTAACCCTCTTCAAGTATTTTTAGGAATATGTATTTTCCCCTATTTAAACATCCCTTCAGTCGTTTAAGGACAAATCTGAAAGTGTAGCTGAAAAGGGTATGAAAATTACAGATATGTGCACCATGGACATCATAATCCAGGAAGTCCAAAGAACTGGTAGTTTTTAAATTGCCTTTCTGATCAAGGTTGTTCAGTACAATTTGTTTTAGTTTACAGTTTTGGAAATTGTTAAGTTTTATTTTTAATTTCTTTTTTTTTTTTAAAGATTTTATTTATTTGACAGAGAGAAATCACAAGTAGGCAGAGAGGCAGGCAGAGAGAGAGGAGGAAGCAGGCTCCCCGCGGAGCAGAGAGCCTGATGCGGGGCTCGATCTCAGGACCCTGAGATCATGACCCGAGCCGAAGGTAGAGGCTTTAACCCACTGAGCCACCCAGGCGCCCCTTTAATTTCTTTTTTATGGTATAATCAGAGATTATGGTTTCTAAAACTCTAGTAATATGGGCAAAATAAGCATTTAAGAGATTTCACTTTTCCAAATTGCTCATCTGCATTCCCACAGTCCTTTTTTCCTCCCCCATCCCTTATGCTCTGCTCATCTCCCAACACTCCTGCCATCCCTACACACACACAGACACATGGACACACACACAGAGACATACACAGACACACACACAGACACACACAGAGACTTCTAAGGATGTACTTATCTGAGAAGGATTTTGATTAGGGTTGCCAGATAAAGTATAGGATACCCAGTTAAATTTGGGGTTTTTTTTTGTTAAGTTTTTATTTAAATTTCAGTAGTTAACATACAGTGTAGTATTAGTTTCAGGTGTACAATACTCAACATTCCATAATAAAGAGTCTGTTTTTTGGTTTGCCTTTTTTCCCCCTTCATTTGTTTTGTTTCTTAAATTCCACATATAAGTGAAATCATGGGGTAGGTCTTTCTCTGACTGACTTATTCTACTTAACATATTACACTCTAGCTCCATCCATATCACTGCAGATGACAAGATTCATTCTTTTTATGGCTGAGTAATAATCATATATATATATACACACACATATATGCATATACATAAGTCTTTATGTATATATATATAAACATACCTATATATATTTATATAGATATATTAATATGCCACAGCCATATTGTGGCTATTGTAGATAATACCATTATAAACACCAGAGTTCATGTATTCTTTTGAATTAGTATTTTTGTATTCTTTGGGTATATACTTAGTAGTGCAATTGTTGGATCGTAGGGTAGTTCTATTTGTTACTTTTTGAGGAACCTCCATACTGTTTTCCAGAGTGGCCACATCAGTTTGCATTCCCACCAACAGTGCAAGAGAGTTCCTCTTTTTCTACATCCTCACCAGCACTTGTCCTTTCTTGTGTTGCTAATTTTAGCAATCCTGACAGGTGTGAGGTGGTATCTCATTGTACTTTTGATTTATATTTCCCTGGTAATGAGTGATGTTGAGCATCATTTCACGTGTTTGCTGGCTATCTGGGTGTCTTCTTTGGAAAATGTCTGTTCATGTCTTCTGCCCATTTATAACTGGATGATTTGTTTTGGAGATGTTAAGTTTTGTAAATTCTTTATATATTTTGAATACTAACTCTTTATCAGATATGTTATTTGCAAATATCTTCTCCCATTCCATAGATCGCCTTTTAGTTTTGTTGATTGTTTCCTTCACTCTATGGAAACTTTTTATTTTAATGAAGTTCCAATAGTTTATTTTTCTTTTGTTTCCCTTGCCTCAGGAGACATGTCTAGAAATAAGTTGCTCTGGCCAATGTCAAAGAGGTTACTGCCTGTGTTCTCCTCTGGGATTTTTATGGTTTCAAGTCTCACATATAAGTCTTTCATCCATTTTTAATTTATTTTTGTGTATGGTGTTAGAAAGTGGTCTGTCTTCATTCTTCTGCATGTTGCTCTCCAGTTTTCCCAACACCATTTGTTGGAGACCTTTTCCCATTGGATATTCTTTCCTGCTTTACCCAGTTAAATCTGAATTTCAGATAAATAGAGTTTTCTTAGTATAAGCTTACCTCAAATATTTCATGAGACATACTGATACTAAAAAAAAAAAAATTGTTAATCTGGAATTCAAAGTCAAATTAACTGACCCATCCTTATTTGTATTTCTTAAAATGCACTTATCCAGGATTTTGAGCTGTAACACAGTTTCTAAGAAAGAAGATTGAGACAGAATACTACTTTGGCCATGATTAAACACTGTCATCTGTTACAACATCATTTTTCCTTTCATGTGTATGGAGGCAGGAATGCTCTCAACACTGGGACTTGTTCTCTTACCTGGTCCCCACAGCTCGGTGCACTGTTCCTGCAGCGTGGGGCACATCCCTATCAAGCAGTAGCCCTCCCCGTTTTGGCAGGGGAAGCCATTGACTCGGAATCTATCATCAGGGCAAACACCAGATTTACCATCACACATTTCTGGCAGATCACACTCATCTTTTGCTGGTCTGCACACTGCACCAGCCTTCTTAAACTGCAGGGAAATAAAAATGAAGAAAAGGCTTTTTTTTTCCACATGACTTACTCGAATATCTCAAGCTAACGTAAATAATATTTTTCCTTTGGCCTTTTTTTGGCAAGGTAGTTAGAGGCATCCTTCTATTTTAGCTTACATCTGCGTTGCATAAACTAAAGACATCTCCTATTATATCATTTCTATTGACTTCTGCCAATGGCCTGAGTCTTTAAGTAATCAATATTTCTGAATTTATAGTGCAAGCACTATAGAAATATCAAGGAGAAAGGTACAGAAGAAAACCAAACCTCATCTTAGTTGCAAAGAAGGGATTTATTCTTTCCTTTGTTGAATACATTTTTGTCAAGATTTTCAAGGAGATTTATATTTGCAACTTAAGAGATTTATTGGCCAAGTGAATCTTCTGTATTAAGGCAGGTAAGTTTATAAGCACCAGATCAGTATGCCCTGAGACTTTCCCAGGCATCATGTTTCCTTAATCCTTAATTCCTTTTATTGTATGCTCAAATATTTCTTTTCAACTCACTTCTTCCTATGAAATGATTTCTTATGGGAGAGAAATAACTGAATGTGTATTTGATGTATTTTTTATTTGATGTATTTTTGTTTGATGTATTAATTCCACTGCAAATCTTGCTCTTACTGCCTAAGGGAAAACTTAGTCAAACAAATTCTGCCATTTATGCAGATCTGAAGAGTTCTGTGTGGACACTGGGAAGCATATCTTTCCCTAGATGAGGTGAGCAAACATGCTCCTCTATCATCAGAGAACTTTCAATATCTTTACATAATGACAGAGTGGAATCCAAAATTTAATTAGATCATACACAACCCTCCAAACTCAAACCTTGCTGCCCGGCCAGATGAGCTTACTTACCAGCTCTCACATGAGCATGGTTATACTTCCTGTTCCATCTTTATTCTTTCCCTCAGTCTCCTCATTTAGGAATTTTTCCTCCTTCTGTTTACTTATTTAAAATCTGCGCTTGGGGCACCTGGGTGGCTCAGTGGATTAAAGCCTCTGCCTTCAGTTGAGGTCATGATCCCAAGGTCCTGGGATCGAGCCCCGCATCGGGCTCTCTGTTCAGCAGGGAGCCTGCTTCCTGCTCTCTCTGCCTGCCTCTCTGCCTACTTATGATCTCTGTCTGTCAAATAAATAAATAAAATCTTAAAAAAAATAAAATCTGCGCTTGACTTTAAGACTAGTGACAGCCTCATCTTCCATGAAGCCTCCTCTGATGTCTTCAGGGCACATGGTTGCCTTTCCTTCCTACACATGATGGGAAGATCCCTGAATTTAGATTTGGAAGATGCAGATTTGAATCTTGGCTCTAACAGAGGATAGCTTTATGATTTAGAAAAGGAACTTAATCTCTCTGAAAATCCATTCCCCATCTAATATTTCCTTTACAGAGTCATTATGAAACTTAAGTGAAAATATAAGTGGTAAACATTACACAAAGGTCAAATAGCCTTAAAATGTCTACCTGGGCATTTAATCCTGTACTATATTTTCATCTGTTTCAGGTATTTATATCATTACCCTAAAGAAATAGCATGTTCTTTGAAGTCAAAGACTACCTTTTTTTTTTTTTTTGATCTCCCACAATCTCCAACAAATAGCACTTAATCAACACTTGTGGAATAAGACTTAAATTCTCAAATTTTCTTCCTTTTGGACTCTTTTATTTCTTTCCTCTCCTTCTGACATCAAAAAGAAAAAAAATCCTAAATCCTACCTATAATCTGGTATGCCATCTGTCCACACATTCTTTCTGCAAACAGGTCTTGAACATTTAAAATGTATGAAACTCTGTGCTAGGTGAGAATGAATCAGTCCCTTGCCCTCAGAAGACAGTCTAACTAAGAAAATAGACACATAAACAAATAATTATAATAGAGAATTCTATGCAATGATAGAATGTAAAATTCTAAATTTGAACCTGAAAGGAAAGTCAACAAGCCCCACAGAGAAAATGACACAGAATGCTCACTTTATATTTAAGAAATTCACCCTGAAGTGACGTCAAAGTCTGAAGATAGGGAAGACCCCACATTATTAAAACAAAACAAAACAAAACGTTTCCACTTAACCCATTATTAAATGAATATGCAACCAATTATGAGGTTTGGTGCAAGAAGGCTCTGTGACATCAGAAGCAGCGGCAGGTAGAAGTCCCAGCACTGGGTTTGGAAGAGGTCATATTTGGAGTTTGCCTTTCAGTGGCTCTTTTATTTCACACATTTTCTATTCTGAGCTTATGTTCCTTCAAGAGCAAAATGAGATAATATTATCTAATTCATAGGGTTGTTGGGGGATCAAATAGCCCATGTTTGTAAACACTCATATGTAGGCAGCATTATTTTATAGACAGAAAGCTAGTGCTTTGCTATTTTATTTAACATAATCACTGAGATTTTTAATGTAGAAAAATAAACAGTAATTATAATTATTAAAATAGAATAAAATAATAATCTTACCTGGCATTTTTCACAGCATTCTCCTAATGCACATTGAAAACTTGCTTTGATTTTACAAGTTTTAGCGTCACAGCAAATGTTGGTACATTCCTAAGAAATACCAGAGACAAAGGCAAATGCCAGATTGGGTCTCAATTTTTTGCTCTTGTTTCACCACAATTCATAGTATAATTTTTTCATCACACAGACCCTACTGTGATATAGTCTAAAGATAATTTCCAGGAAAATAAAATATTGAACAAAGTTCAACATTAGAAAAACAGATTTTAAAACCACTGGTGACTTGTCACATATCTGAATTCTACTGACACATTTTTAAATTTGAATATCTCCTTTAGATCACTCAGCCTCCTATAGGATACTGAAAATGATCTATTTTTGGTAAACTATGAAAGAAAACAAAAGGAAAATGATAGTTTTTAAAAATAAAATTTATCTAAATAGTTAAAAACATAATTAGTTGAGCTCATCGGTTTTGTACCTACTCAGCAGTAGATTTAATCTCTAAGACGTACTAAAAACCTAAAAGTATAGTTCTTTATGCAACTTTGACATTTAATTCAACTCTGCGTTAAGCAATAGACTTTGTCTTGCTCTCCTCACCTTGTTTCTGAGAAATCAGGCATCTGCATGAGACTTTGGGGAAGCTCTCCCCTCAGAAACTTCCTCTTATAGCTGTTTAGGTTACCTAAGAGAGTTACAACTTTTTAGGATTAAAACTCTTGCCCTTATTTCAAATATAAACATCCTCTTGGAAAGATTCCTCTTTTCTCATAGAATGAATGCATTTGTGGTCAAATTTTGAAATTACTGAAGAGCCAACCCTTTGAGGCCTTGACAGGTCACTCATATTAAATATTGATAAAATGGGGGCAAAGGTCCCATTGGGAAGCCTGGTGGCCCTACAAATAGGGTAGGATCAGGCGAGGACTCCTAATGGTAAAAACTCTTAAGTCACAAAGAGAAAAACTAAATCTCAGTGCAAGACAGCTTTGCGACTGCTCAAACACCTGAGTCTACATCTTGGCCTCTCTCTCTACCAGCTCTGTGACCTTGGGTGAACTATTTACACTCTCCAAGAGCTATTGAGGTGCCCCCCCAAAATAACTGCTCAGTAGGTCATAGTCACATAAAGAAAAGTGAAGTTATTTCTGCCAGAAAGAGAGGAATGAGGATACAAATCTCAGTTGTTGAGTGGTTCTTAAAAATCAGGAAATGGGGAAAGATCCCCAAGAAAGAAATTAGGAAGGTCTGTTAAGCAATGCAGTAGTCATTGTTAGCAAGGCTGGCCTGACAAATGTCTAACAGATGAACATATGCAAAGTTATTAAAAAATGTACAACTTCAGAGTAATAATATAGTTTTATAGTTTATAGTCTTAGCAATTGAAAAACAAATTAGACCATTTTAGAAAGTTCTTCGGTGGTACCTCGGGAGTCCCACAATCACAGTCCTCTCCCATTTCTACCAGCTGATTCCCACAGGTTGGGATGGATATGATATCTCTAGGCAATGGAGCGTTGAAAAGGCAATTTGATAATTTATCTTCAAAGAACTTGTCATAGCTGACACGGCTGCAGGAACTGAAGTCTGTGGGTATATAGAAGCTATGAAGATAAGGAAAGAGAAAATGGAACACAGTCATGCTGAGCATGAAGGGAGCAATATCACACATTGGGGATGATGCACCCAAAACCTGCCCTAAAAGATTAAACCCAATCCACTGCCCAACTGCTAAATCGTGAGCTCTTTTGTGTGCCTGAATTAGCCCTCCAGGATGGACACAAACACCTCGAGCTTAATGAAAAAAATATGTCAATTCTTAAAGTGTAGCATCTAGGCTGCTGTTTTAAAAAACAAAGATGCTCTAACTATTCCAGAGAATCTTAATCAGCCTTAGATCATTTTGGCTGCAAAGTCCTACAGGTAGTAAAGTCATACTTATTTATGTGTCTAAGAATTTACTTTCCTTCAGAAGAATTACTTTTGGCAGAAATTCTTCATTTCACAAACAAAGATGAGGTTTAAAAATGCAATAGTATCTGGGAGAGATAACAAATATATGTGACTGGCATTCCACCATAACAGTATTTTGGAGAAGGGTCTGGAAGACTAACCCTAGGTTGAGTGAGCTGGGACAGGGAAATAGAAGAGAGGAAATACATATATTAAAGGGATTTGGGTTGGGAGGCCTGGGTGGCTCAGTGGCTTAAAGCCTCTGCCCTCAGCTCAGGTCATGATCTCAGAGTCCTGGGATCGAGCCCTGCATCAGGCTCTCTGCTTAGCAGGGAGCCTGCTTCCTCCTCTTTCTCTCTCTGCCTGCCTCTCTGCTTACTTGTGATCTCTGTCTGTCAAATAAATAAATAAAATCTTTAAAAAAAAATAAAAGGGATTTGGGGATTTTTAAAGATAAAATTCCCTGGAAACTTTGCTTAGGCAAGGCAGGGATATATAATGTCTTTATCCTCCTGCAAGGATGCTCTTCTTTAATTAGCTTTTTCTCCTAGAGCCACCCAGTCTGAATTCAATGAAAATTTGATATATACTAATGATTTTCTGAAACCAGATCTTGTGTAGGTAAGATGAAGTTAAAAATGTCAATCATGCCAACAGCAAAGACACGATATATTTAAATGATGTCTTAGTTAATGAAAAATATTGCATATAGAGGGATAAAGTGTTTTGGTATAGATATGCATTCATGATTATACTATTCAACATTTAAAAGCTTGAATGTGTGCTGAAGATGACATGAAAGATATAGCACAGATACAGCCCAGAGTGAACCAAAACCAGGAACAGAATGCATCTTCCCAGAGAGCCTCACCTTAGTACTCTGTCCATCACACATATTGTAGAAGGGCACTTGCAAACATAGGAGTCATGAAACATTCCAAAGTTATGACCCATTTCATGGGCCATGGTCCCTGCTACTCTAAGCATGTTGTCACTGTGGTCCTAAGGGCAAGAATAGGGAAACAGATCCTCTGGTTTTCAAACTAAATTATCACTCGGGGTATAATTAGTTTTACTAACTGGGGCAGAGAGAGTGACTTTACCTTCAGCTTTTCACTACTCACCATCTCTCTTCCTCTCCCTCCCCTTCTCCTTCTCTCCTTTATTCTCCTCCTGCCTCTGTCTCTCTCTCTCTCACCCTCTCTCACTCTCCCTCTCTCTCTCTCACACACACACATGCACAACTTTGGTACTGATTGCACAACACAAGGCACATTGCTTGCTCTTTATTCTTTTAAATGGGGAATATTTATAATGAGAAACGTTTCTGTGGTTTCCTGCCATGAAAGATAGTGGCAAAATGTCTTCAACGATGATAAGGAATCAGAATTTTTAAAAAACTGATCTATCTGCCACTCCCACTGGCTTGTTTTTAATACCTTCTAATTTGATTGAAGGCCTTTGATATGTTTGGCTAATGGGAATCTGAAAATGTTAACCCAGGACTTTAGTACCATTGGTATCTTTTTTCAATTCTGTTACCACCAAGACTAGACATCAGTCCTTTCTCACTTGTCCCATTGCATGAAGTCCAGCTAGTAACCAACTTCATTCCCAGAGTGTTTCTGATTAGAAGTGTCACACTGGGGGGCTCCAGGTTTTTCCAGGAGTGATAAAACAGCACTACAGAATCACCACAGGCTGTAATTTTCCAGTGGGGAGACAAGAATCTCCCAGTTACACCCACCCACAGAAACCTGATTTCCTTATCTACTTCAATTTGAAGAATCAAATAAAGAGATCCATACAGCAGAGTGCAAGACTGGTAAACAAGGAACAACTGTGTAAGATAGGAAGTGAATACTTACAATTCATAATATTGAGTCATTCTGTCAAGATGAACCTGGTAAACTTTCCTATTTAGTAAGATGGAGTTACTCAAGGGGGAACAAAAACAAACCAAAAAATTAAGAAAAATGGAAATATGCTTAGACTTTCCACATTGCCTTATGAGGTCCTTAAATTTATGGTATCTTCCTTTAAAAAATTATTTTCATAACTTCAATGTTTCTTCCCTTTGGAATGAATCCCAAAAGTCTAATTTCTTTTCCAATTTTATGGTAAACTCTTTCAAGTTAGAAAATATGTATTTTACTTCTTCTGTTCACCTTATAAAGCTTATCACAAATTCAGACTCATAGGATATATTGGAGATATATCACCCTTCCACCTCAGATGTGCAGAGCTGGGAAGAACATTATTCTTGCACTAAACAAAAGGACTAGACAGAAAAACTTAATTATAATTTTCCTTGATTCTATCAGTCAATTGTGGTCATAGGACATCCACAGATCTGAAAACTAAGAAGAGACAGGCCCTCCCAAGTACAGATTTGACATGAGAACTGGTTTATCTCCAGCAAGGCAAAGAGGAGGACCTGTCAGGTACCTGCAACTGGGGATGCAATTCATCTGAGTTCTTAAATGAATTGCTAAAGGCCTAGTATGGCCCACTGCAAGAGTATAGAATCAGCAGGACCTCAGAAACAAGGGTACTTTGCACATACTTACAGACATTTCTCAATAGACCTCCTCTCTATAGCTCATGATAAACATTGGGAGCTAGGTAATAGAACAGAAAGAACTTCTCTTGGTGGAATGAGCCATGAGGAGTGAAGAAAAAGAAAAAGAGCATAAGCCATATCCAGATCTTTCTCCTTCAAGGAACAGAAGCCTGAAGCCACTGGGAAGAGAAATAGCAATCTCTGACAACCTAGGGTAGAACTGAAGACCCAATATGGCTAGAGAATGGGTTTAATCTCACACACACACACACACACACACACACACCCTCTACTCCTGAAACAGGAAGACAAAAATCTTGAGCCCAGAAGCCCATAATGATATTATTTGAGATTTTCTCCCACTGAGGGTGAGTCAGGAAACTCTTCCTCAAAAGACCTGCAAAAGATAGAAAGGAGAGTTTTGCTGCCATGGGAAAGATAGGCAGGATCCCTAAGAAAGTTTTTCCTCTGAGACCCATGACCTGCCTAAGACTAAAACCGGATAAAATCTAAAGAGAAACCCTTACCCCTGCTCCTCACCACCAGATTGTAGCAGGCTGGAAAGAGTGTCACTCCCCAACTTACAATAAATAAAACATTTGGCATAGTAAGATTCATAATTTATAGAACTCATCCACAGCTCAGGGCACAAGGCAACAAACAAACCTGAAATCCAAGGAAAGGTGGGTTAACATCTGCAGCGAAAGTCAGGGCATGAATATTTGTTTACACTACCAGATACCGGATACTACCAGATGCCAGTAATAACTCATACTAAAAACAAAAACAAAAACAAAATAAAAAAACCCTTAAAACTGATAAAGGCAGAGTGTGTACAGTACAGAAAGAAAATATACAAAATGTGGGAGCTTCAGACATAGGGGAATTCTAACCTACTCACTGTCTTTTCTCCACATGGACCTCACCAAGTGAAAGCTATGAGAAAGTTTACCCAACAGTGTGGGCCTGTAGGAGGGGAACAGCAGCAGAAAAGGCACGAAACCCCTCCAGGATCATTCTCCTCTATCTCTGCCACAGAACAAACATGATCGTTCAGGGTGAAAGGAGGGTCTTCCTTGCCTTACTCTAGTCCTATCTCTAAACCTAGTTAAAGGGCTTTAAGCTTCTGAGAGAAATGGCAGAAAATCTTGTCCAACCTAGACCATTGGTGAATTCTCAAAGCAACTCTAAAAAAGGAACAGGAAGGGAAACACACACACACACACACAAAGCCTCTACCCCTGGAAGGAAGGGGAAGGAAGGGCATGAATACATGCTGGGCAGGGTCATGAGAGGTCTCCACCACCTGGCAATGGAACAGGAGCACTGTAAGGACTACCCCAGACACTAAGGGACACGAGACTGAGATTTAATAAGAACAAAGGAGAATGCCCTCTTCCCACCAGAAGTCTAATGATCATCCAGTAACAAGTAACAACAACCTACTAAGGGCTTAAAGAAACTCTGGGGAATCCAATAAAGACCTAAAGATGAATGTGAAACACACACTCAGAAAAACCCTCTGGAAAACCAGCCCTCGCTCTAAACACAAAATAATGTGAGAATAACTCAAAGCCTATGATGTACTGAGAGTAGTCACAGCAACAACAACAAAATCCCAAACCCAACTCAATTCTTGCTGGATTGCTTCAAATCCTCATGCAAGAGGCCTTGCAGAAGGAAAGAATTGATCATTTCCAAGCCAAAACACACACACACACACACACACACACACACACACACACACCTTGGACTAATGTCTTTCACAGGGTGTCTGACTTTCAACAAAAAATAGTAAGGTGTCTAAGAAAACAAAAAAGAAAAACAGAAAGAAAAGCAATACCCTGCCAATCAACAGATCCAGATTCATATCTGACCCAGATGTTAGAATGATCACACAATACTTTAAAATAACTATGATTAATAGGTTAAAAGCTCCAGGGGAAAAGATGAATAGCACACAAGTCTGGATGAGTAATTTCAGCAGAGCTGAACACCATAAGAAAGACTCAAATGGAAATACTAGAAATGAAAAAGACAATAACAGAGATGAATGATGTCTTCACAGGCTCAACAGTAGATTTGGAATAGCTGAGGAAATAATCACTTGTCTTAATAGTTCAAAAAAAATTATTCAAATGGAAACACAAAGTGCAAAAAGAATAAAAAAGAAAACAAACCAACAGCAGAACAGAGCATAGAAGTTTTGAGGGGCAATATAGAATGGTCACAGATATATATAACTGGTATCCCTAGAAGAAAAAAGGGACAGAATGAATTAGAAGAAATATGTGAATAAGTAATGGCCCAGAATTTTCCAAAATTCATCACAGATACAAGCCCCAGGCCCAAGAAATTCAGAGAACACTAAGTGGGATAAATTACCCATTTCTCCCCAAACGCCCACTTAGTTATATCACAATTATAATCAAACTGAAGAAAATTAAAAAGAAAGGAGAAATATTAAAGTAGAAAAAAAGGCACATTTTAAAGCAACAGAGATAGAGTTTACAGCACACTTCTCATCAGGAACCCTGCAATCCAGCAGACAGTGAAATGAAATCATTAGAAGTGCTAAAAGTAAAACATTATTAACTCAAAATTACAAACCCAGTGAAAATACATGCAAAAGTGAAAGAGAGAGAGAGTTATTTGAAGCAACTAAAAGAATTCATTGACAGTTGACCTGTATTACAGGAAATATTTTTAAAAAAATCTCTTGGAAGAAAAAAATATATATGTATACCAGATAGAAACTTGTAACTATACAAAGAAATGGAGAACACTGGGAATGTGATAAAGGTGAGTGTAGGTAGAGATAAGACAAGCATAATAATTTTTTTCCTTATTTTAAATTGCATTTGAGAGATTACTAAGAAAAATTAGTAACAATATATTGTGTATTTTTAACATATGCAAAGTAAAGCACATGATATCAATAGCATAAGAAATGGAAAGGAGTATTTAGAGGTATACTCCTATAATATTCTTATACTACATGTGAAGTAGCTGAAGAATATTCCTTTTTTTTAAAGATTTTATTTAATTTTTTAGAGAGAGAGAGTGTGTGTGCAGAGAGGAGGGGCAGAGAAGAGGGAGAGAGAGTCTTAAGCAGACTCCACACTGAGCATGGAGCCCAATGTGGGGCTCAATCTCACAACACTTAGATCATGACCTGAGCTGAAACAAAGTGTCTGATGCTTAACTGCCAGCACCACCCAGGCATCCTGAGGACAAGAGTAAAAATGTAAATGTAAATGTAAAAACAGACAAGCAGAGGTGTATAATAAACCAGGGCAACCATTAAATAAAAAAGAGAGATAACAGTTAAAAGCTAATAATGGAAATAAATGAAATTATTTTCAAAAATCCTCAATCCCTAAAGAGGGCAAGAAATAATAGAAAAGATGGAAGAGCAAAGATCTAGCAAGATGGAAGCTTTTAGTTCAACAATATCAATAAGTATATTACATATAAATGATTTAAACACACCAAATAAAAGACAGATTGTCAGATTAGATAAAAAGTAAAACCTGAGTTTATACTGTCTACCAGAAACCTTTAAACATAGAGAAGAATATATGCTAAAAATAAAAGTAAGGAAAAGGTTGTATCAAGTAAACTATAGCTACTTTATAGTAACTATAATCATATCAGACAAGGTAGACTTCAGAACAGGAATATTTTAGGGAAAAAGAGGAACATGAAATAATAAATGGATTAATTCTCCAAAAGATATGACAACTCTATTTGTGTATTTACTTAACAACTTCAAAATATATGAAGTGAAAACTTATAGATTTGAAAGAATAGACAAATCTACAATTATACTTGGATATTAACCATTCTCTCTATATAAATGATTCAAAAGAACTGAACAACACTGTAAGTTAACTTGACATAATTGATAATTAAAGAACGCTCTATCCAATAACAGCAGAAGACATTCTTTTTCAAGTTCATATGCAGTATTGACCAAGAACAAACCTCAAAAAAGTTTAAAAATACCAAAATTCTACTAAGTATGTTCCTAGACTATCATGGATTGAATTATGGCACCCCAACACACATACTCCAATTCATATGTTGAAGCCTTAACCACCAATGTGACGGTCTTTGGAGATAGGTTTTCTAAGGAGATAATTAAGGTTAAATGAGACTATACTCCTGGGACCTTAATCCAACAGGAGTAAAAAGGAAGGGATGTGTGCCAGAAGAAAAGCCACATGAGGACACAGCAAGAAGGTGGGCATCTGCAAGCCAATGGGGAAGACCTCAAGAGAAACTAAACCTAACCTACCAACATCTGGATCTTGGATTTTTAGCCTCCAAAACTCTGAGGAAACACATTTGTATTGTTTAAGCCATACACTCTGGGGTATTTTTTTATAACAGCCTTAGCAAATGGATACACAGATCATAACCAAATGAAACTAAAAATACACTTCTAAATAATACATGAATCAAAAAGGAGGTCAAAAGAAATTAGCAAATATTTTTAACTGAATAAAAATGAAAACATGCATATCTAAATATGATGGGTTCAGCTAAAGCAGTGCATGGCAGGAAATTTATGCATTAAATGTTTATATTTGAAAAGAAGAAGTCTCAAATGAATGATCTAAAATTCTTCCTTATGTAATAGAAAAAAAAAGGACAAATTAAATGCAGAGAAAGCAAAAGAAATTCTATAATCAGGACAAGAGCAGAAATCAATGAAATGAAAGCAGGAAAGCCCAGAGCATCAATAAAGCAAAATCAGTTTTTTAGGAATGAATAAAATTAATAAACTCTGTGAGACTGACCATGAGAAAAAGATGTAAATTACTAATATCGTGAACAAGAGAGGACATCACTACAGATATAAAAATTATACACATTTTTAAAAAACAATATTATAGGAATATCATCAACAAATTTATGCCAACTTAAATAAAATGGACACTTTTCTTAAAGACACAAATTATCAAGTCTCACTCAAGAAAAGATAAATAACCTGTATTAGTAGTAGTCCTGTATCTATAGGACTTCTCTACCTACAGAAGAAATTATACTTGTAGTTAAAAACCTTTCCATAAAGAAAACACCAGACCCATATGGTTTTACTGATGAATTTTACCAAATATTTTAGGAAGGAATGATGCCAATTTTACTAAGACATTCCAGAAAATTGAGGGGTTGGGAATATATCATTTTATGTGGCCAGATATGCCCTAATAACAAAACCTGAAAAACACATAACAGGAAAAGACAACTACAGACTAATATCCCTCATGATTATATAGAATGTAGAAATCCTCAAGGTATGTTAGCTTGTTAAATCCAGCAAGATACAAAAAAGATAATGCATTATGACCTTGCTGGGTTTATACTGGATATGCAAGACTATTTCAACATTTGAAATTCAGTCCATGTTAGTTACCATATCAACAACAACAACAAAAACTACATGATCCAGAAAAAAGAGCAATTGTCACACTTGAACTGTAGAACCAACAATTTATCTTCAAACAAACCTGAACGATGCCAACAGAATGATAAGGAGAGCACATTGTAGACATGAAAGCAAGGCCCACAGTTGTCCCAGAAAGTTTTGTTGCTCTGCAAGAAAGAAAAAAAAAATTATATAACAACCTATGATTCTCAACTATATGTTCTATAGACAATCCAGAACTCTAAATGGTTAACAGAGAAACTCACATGGTGAATAATAACTTAAATATTTCCTTCAGTTTTTGAATTTGCATTAGGTTTTTTTTCCTATATGCAATGGTTTTCATATCACCTAACTACAAGCACCTGGATATAATCATTTTTAATATTTTATATATGTATATCTTATTTTTATATTACTATTATCACATATGCTTTGTTTTAATTTATATTTTTCTCTCATATATTTTTATACCCATTTACTTTTGTTCTCTTTAAGCACTGTTTTAGCTATAGTGGGATTTGAAATTTGGGCCCGTTCTGAACATATTTGTGTTACTGAAGCATTTATGTTATTGAAATACTTGTTACTGAAAAGGAATTTGAGCCATTTGCATTTATTTGCATAGACAATTGGTTTTGTCTTTCATATTTTATTTTTATTTTTTAGTTTTGTTCATTTTGTTTTTCTTACAATTCATAATGATTCCATGTGCTGCCTTTGTTATTATCCTGCTATCTGTTCAACATCCTAGCCCTGATTTGTCTTTAATAATTTCCAAAGAATGCATTATTTAAAAAATTCCCTTAGTAGAAGCATTTAAATTAAAAGTTGAACTTATATTTTCCCAGTTATCATCCTCAAGAATGGGGACTATTGATTTTGCCATGCAAAATAAGGAAAATTAGAGAACTTTTTCCCACTTTACATTTCCTCTGGAAAATTTTCAGATATGTTATTTTGAAATGGTATTTTGCATTGTACATGATATTTTAAAGATTTGTGGCATTTATATCCTCTTTAAAAATTATATTATAAAATTATTGATACTTAAGTCTGCATTTGTGTGGGTTTAATACTCAGTACCAGCTTGTTTATAATAAGTAAAATCTTCTCCCATTATGGAGTTAGCTATTTTGGTTCCTGTTTTCAGTGGTTCTTACTTGGTTATGCCTAGGTATAGACGTATACCTTTTGTTAGTTTGTCAGGTAAAAGGCTAAGATTTTCAATTTAAGGACTTTCAGTGAAAGGACAGTTATTTCCTTCCATCATAACTTTTTAGTGCCTTTATTTTGTTTATTCTAGTCTAGTCAGGAAATCTACTCTTGATATTGGATTGCCACCTAATGCCCTCTTTAATGTCCATCATCCAGTTACCCCATGTCGTACCTACCTCCCCTCTAGTAACCCCCAATTTATTCCCTATACATAAGAGCCTCTTATGATATGCCTCCCTCTGTTTTCATCTTATTTTACTTTTCTTTCCTTTCCCCTATGTTCATCTATTTTGTTTCTTAAATTCCACATATGAGTGAAATCATATGGTATTTGTCTTTCTCTGACTGACTTATTTTGCTTAGCATAATACTCTCTAGTTCTATCCACATCATTGCAAATGGCAAGATTTAATTCTTTCTGATGGCTGAGTAATATTCCACTGTATATGTACACCACATCTTCTTTATCCATTCACCTGTCAATGGACTTCTGGGCTCTTTCCATATTTTGGCTATTATGGACATTGTTGTTATAAACATTCAGGTGCAGGTGCCCCACTGTATCGCTATTTTTTATCCTTTGGATAAATACCTAGTAGACACTGTGATTTCTAAGTTTCAATCATGGAAGTCTTGAAGCTTTCTCTTGGTCCTCTTAGAATGCTTCTTCTGGGGGAAAATTAGTCCCCTTGCAAGATACCCAGAACCCTGAGACTGCCATGCTGGAGGCAGTCAAAGGTAGCCACATGAAAGCTGTAGAAACAGAGATGACCAACGAGGCCCTGTGCTCCAACTATACCAGGCAGGAAACCAAACACTCAAGAACATAAGAAGACTTTAATTTTAAGTCAGGAAGTTGTAGGCTGATATATGTAGTAGATAATCAACACAGAATATTAATTAATTCTTATTTCCTTTAACAACTCCTGTTTTCTTAGGAAGTAAAACTTGAATACTTTTAAGTCACTTCTTGCTGCTTCCTTCTATCTGATTCCAGCTGCAAATTATCCAGCAGAATTTTCTCCAGTTCTTTTGAGGCATACCCTCAGCAGTCTTGTCTAAATTACAGTCACCAGATTTACTTCCTGTTTTTTTTTAATTAGTCATTTCAGCAGGATGGTAGAGGTAGGGGGTTAGAATATAATACACAATTTTCTTTCAATCCTAGAAGTTTGTCCTGACTAGTGCTTAAAGCTAATCAGGTCTTTTAAAACATTGAATCAAAATTTCTCTTGCCATTATCTAAACCTGTCTTTCCTTTCTGTATACCTAATCAAAACAGACAAAATTCTAATGAATCATTGCCAAATTGTTAGCTTTTCTTTAAAAATGAAAAAAAAAAAAAGAAATACTTGTAACAAAGGTAAGAGCATATTCACCATCAGAGTCAAATGAGTATTTTTAAACTTTTAAACTCCCTTTCCCTAAAGAGGAAGCCACTTCCTCTTATCCTGTGTCCTGAGATACCACTTGCTTTGCCAAGTCTTTGGAAAGTTTCTATGCTAAATACCATTTAACATACAAAGGGGGAAAATCTATACATACGTGATTAATTGTGCAATATCATGATGCTTTCTTCTTCGGAGGACACTTCCCCTCCATTTAGAAAAATTTTCCAAGGTGAAGCTTGCATTTGGACTTATTTTTATTTTATCCCCCTCATTCCAGATTTCCATACCGACTAAGGCCACATTAGTATCGAGTTTTTTATAAAGCTGTTCAAAGAGAGTACATGTCAAAGGAATGTGTAATGGTGATACTATCTTCCAATATTTTCAGTGTACTTTAGATTTTTGAACTTATTAACAGCAACACTGTAAACACTTTCTTTCCAAACATACTTGTGTAATGGAAGTTACCACCTCTTTTATTAAGGCAGACACCCTTAGATATTTCAGGTATGAAAACTCCTCTCTTTTTTTTTTTCTTTTTGGAGAAAAGTTCTTATAGAAACGAAGTTCTTTTGCTTGCAATCTCAAGAAACATTATAATTTTCTGTTAGTAGTTTATTACTATGACTTCAACTTAAGTGTATCTTCTCAAATGCTTTTCAATGTTCTCAGAGTGATAACATTTCAAAATTAGCAAGGTTGACCCAGTGCTGGTTTGGACACTGATAAAAAAAAACGTTCTATGAAAAAGTCCCTCACCTATGAGTCACAAATAAGTAAGTGATCCTCTAATTCTTAAACCTAGACTGAACCAAATAATCTATAATGCACATAAGATAATCTCCAGAAATAATGAATTAATCTTATAAGACAATATGTTTACTCTAAAAACAAAAGTTTAAATTGCTACTATAGTTTACAAAACTGCACAATGTTGGTCAGATGAACTTCTAGTCATTAGATGAATGAATTCTGGGGATCTAATATACAGCTTGCTAGTGATAGTTAATAATATCGTCTTAATTATTTTAACATTGGTGAGAATAATTTTCAAACGTTCGCATCACAAAAAAGCAACAGCAACTATGTGATGTGATGGAGGTGTTAGCTAACCTATGGTGGAAATTATTTTGCAAGTAAATATATCAAATCAATACACTGGACCCCTTAAATTCACACAATTTATAGGCCAATTATATCCCAATAAACCTAGAAAAAAAGCTGCACAGTGACAGGTTTTCTCATGGCCCAACTTCCTGCTGAGAAACACAGACATGGCTTTAAGTAGTTTGGAAAACAATAAAAGCATTGAGGAATGCAATTATCATCGAAAGAAAAGTCAGAATCTAACTAGATTAAAACCCTCCCCTTGATGATTCCCTCAACTTCCCTCTTCTGTTCTTGCTTTATTTGACCCACCTGACAAAACTCCAACCCTGGTTAAAACAATTACTCCCTCGGTCTCTCCTCATCATGCCCTGGAACACAGGAGAAAGCACACTATGCTGACCACTTTCACTTGGAAGCCATGACTACTAACCTCAAGTGGTGGTTACCAGTCTCGGCAAACCTACTGCATTTCCAAAATTCACTTATTCCCAGAGGCTTCTGCACATTTTTTTCATGCTCACTCTTCTCTTTTAGAAATTGTGACACTTTCTAGTAAAACCTCACTTTAAGTAGATGCCCCTGCTTCCAAATTCACTCAGAGTATAGAACCAACCAGAAGAGAACATCCACAAGCTCCCACCACTGTCTGCCTACTATTTATTTATTTCTTTATTACATGAATGAACACTGTGAGCCCAACACCACCTTCTCCACTCATGCACTAGATCTCCAATCTATTCCCAGGTCAAGGAGATTATTCCAGCAATTCTTCCAACTTCCTTGCAGTTCTATGCTTAACCTTCCACAGAATCATTCCCATCAGCATGGAATGACCAGATGAGATGACCTATCATGATGGGGGGACAATTTTTATGACCCCAATCCCTATCACTTATTCCCCATTTCTCTGATCCCACTTATAGCAAGAGTTCTGAAGGGAATTTTCTGTGTTGTCTCTAATTCTACTTCTTATTCTACTGGACTCACTCTAATCACGCTTGTACTCTTACAGTCTTACAGAAACTTGCATCATCCAGGTGACCAATAACTTCTACCTTGTTAAATTCCATGGCCAATCCTCAGTCCTCAGAAGCACCTAACGTCATTGATCATTTCTTCCTTTGACAGTTTTTTGTTTCAAGTAGCTTCCAGAGCAACACTGTCCCCTGGTTTTCCTCAAAGCTCACTGTCTACTCCTTATTGTTCTCTGTCAGTTTCTCCTACTTCTGATATTTCCTCAAAGAAGCACTTCAAGGACCTATTCTCAGTCTCTGTCCTACTTATTTAGACCTACTCCTTTGGTTATCTTATACCCGGATTGGAAAGCTTCTTCCGTAAAGGTCCACAGAAAATGCTTCAGACTTTGAGTCTATGTGGTCTCTGTCCTAACTCACCACCATTGGCACTGTAACTGGAAAACAGCCATAGACAATGTATAAACAAATTGGTGTGGCTATGTTTCATTAAAACTGCTTTTTTTTTTAAAGATTTTATTTATTTATTTGACAGAGAAAGAGAGAGAGAGAAATCACAAGGAGGCAGAGAGGCAGGCAGAGAGAAAGAAGGAAGCAGGCTCCCCGGCGAGCAGAGAGCCCAATGCGGGGCTCGATCCCAGGACCCTGGGATCACGACCTGAGCCGAAGGCAGAGGCTTTAACCCACTGAGCCACCCAGGTGCCCCTAAAACTGCTTTTAAAAAGGCAGCAAGCCAGATCTGGCCACAAGCTACACTTTGCTGATCCATGTCGTATGCCATCTGTATGTGTTAAACACTTACGGATTTATATCTCCACCCAGACCTTGCCCCTGAACTCCAAAGAATCTTGTATATCTAGCATTTTCACGTGGAAATTTTTTTTTTTTTTTGCATCCATGAATCTTCTCTTCTATTTTAATGATCCAAAATTTTATAATGTTATAACCTGACACATGTTACTAGGTGCTGGACATGAAGAGGGCATTGTAGGCATATGGATATGTCTACCCCTCATCTTAGGAAAACTTCCTAGTATTGTTTCTCTGATTTTTGAAATGTAAAGTCTCTAATATTTTCATTTCTTAAATATAAAAATGAAACATGTACACATTTAAAAAAAATTAGTCATAGAACACTTTTAATAAAAATCAGCAATCCACTACCATTGCCACCCCCACTAAGAAGCAATAATATTTTCATTGAGATATAATTGACATATAACATTATATTCATTTTACGTATACAACATAATGAAATATTTATACAAAAAGAAATCTCAAAGTGAATGTGTTCAAAATGGAAATCATCATTTTCCCTCTGAGTCACTATCCCCCACCATGTTACCCATTCTTAATGTTGCTCAGGTCCGAATCCTTGATATCACTTGACTCTTCTCCTTTCCTTATACTTTTCATCTCTCATCTACCTTATCTACCCTGATGACTCAATCCAGAGATCAGCTATTCTCAATAGATCCACTACCACTGCTTTTTCTCAAGCCACCATCATTTCCTGCCCTGAATTAGGAAATTATTCCCCTATCTGGTCTTATTTCTGCCAGTGGCTTTCCATCAGTTTATTTCCAACACAATAGCCAAGATGATCTTTTAAGAATACACATCTGAACATGTTATACCTCAGCTCAGGCTCTCCAATGTCGTCCTTGCCTGTGAAGAATAATAAAGTCCTTACACAGTCCTACCAGGACTACAGGTTCCGACCACTACTACCTGTCTGATATCATCAACTCCTATCCTCCCACCCTTACTACATGCCAGCCACAATAGCCATCCCACTGTTCCTCAAATATGACAATCGAAGTTCTGACCTTAGAACTTCACTCTGCCTTGCACACCCTCTCTTAGAGTCAGATTCTTATCTACATTCCTTTCCCTACTCAGATGTCACCTTGGACACCTTGGACTTGAGCTTTCCTATTTAACATACCACCCAAGATGAACCTCTCTCTTTTTTTTTAATACCACTTTTTTTTTTTTTTTTTTTAGCACTTATAATCTCCATCCTACATACTCTTTATTTCGTGTGTTTATGTTCATCTTGAACAAGAATGTAAACTCCTTGAAGGGACATTTGTCAGTTTTGTCTCTCACTCTATTTCTGTCACCTAGAAAAGTTTCTGTCACAAAGGTGTTCAATAAATATTGCCAGTTCTTGGGGTTCTTTAAGAAGAGTCAGATGATCTTTGTGGTGAGAAGACAAGATACAGATGATGCTGGTCATTGAACCCACTTTCATTTTCTCTCTATCCTTAGGGAACTTGCAGGCTACCACAAAGTGACTCACCCATGTAAGTAGGCAGACTAACTCTACATTCAGCTAACCAGGCACTAAACAATTAAGGTTTAAACAGAAGAGATACAGAAATCATTTTTAAAAGATTTTGTTAATTAGATGACAAAATCATGTTTACAGACCAAAATCAACATCTTTCCAATTGAAACGGACTTTGAAATCCAACAAATCCAAGTTCAAATCTTATCGCCCCCATTTCCTAACTTTATGATTTTAGGCAAGTTACTTTGCTTCCCAGAATCTAATTCTTTAGTTATAAATTAGGTTTAGAAATATCTCAGAGTTGTTTTGAAGATTCAGTGAGATGATGTACTGAAAGATACTACTGTGCTAGAGTTTGGTTGATTTTTTTTGTTTTCCCATGTTCTTCCATAGATTGGCTTTATGTTGGGAATTGCTGGTCTGTGATGTCTCCCCAGGCTTTAAAAAAACAAAAAAGCAATTCAAACAAAACCACCTCTTTCTTATATCTTCATCAACCTGAGAATAGTGTGGCAGGTAAGGGGGAAACATCTCTATCATGTAATATTAATATTTAATTAAATAGCAAAATTTCAAGAGCCAATCAGCAGCATTATTAATCTTGGGAGTATTGACTTTCTTTCCCTGCTTCACAAGCATTCATAGATACACCCAATGACACCGCCTCACAAACTGTTAATTTCCTCTTGAAGTATACCATACCATGTTGACGTAATTGGCCATTTCAAACACCCTCTTTCTTATTTCCTCTGGATCTTGATTGTACTTTTTAAACTGAAAAAAAAAAAAAAAACCACAAACAAAAAAGCCAACTATGACAAAATGTGGGCACTGTCAGAAACGAATATAATTGGAAGGAAAAAAAAAAAAAAGGAAACTTCAGTTTATTTTACTTCTCCGTGGTTGTAATTAACAATCAGTTATAAAAGTTAACAGTTAAAAGATAGAAGCAAAATGCTACCTTTGGCTAAATTAAAGTACTTTCAGAGTAGAGATGATGTTTTACCCCTGAAATAGTAGCTCAGTAAAGCTCTAAGGAATTATTAAATATATTTCCATTTAAATGCCATGGTTTCATAAGCTGTGCAGAATTGGTGCAAGCAATAGCTTATTCATATATATATACATATATATATGAATGACAAATGATAAGTACATGTAGTATAATGAGAGGCCAAGCTTAAGGGCCTGAACAAATTAACTTATTCATATTATCATAAAGCAAAGCTTTCCCTTTTGAGATCATATATGTGAACCTTAGATTTCCAATATTTGAAAATGCATTCTTGTAAAATAATATAAACAATGAATATTATCCCCCAAAAATACTTTTCAGAAGATTCCATTCATCAGTCTTATACATTTACCATTTCCTGATGAGGATAAATTCTAACTTACCAGTGATTTAACTGCTTAATAAAAGACAAAATGAGAAAGGAATTTAACTGGAAACTAAATTTGGAGAAAATAATAGAGGATAAAATGCAAAAAATTCACTTTATGCATAGGTATACATTTCTGAGAAGGAAAAATCCTATCAGTCTAATTATATGTCAAATTTCCTAGGATCAGAACAATTCATAAAAAAGAATAGCTCATATTCATGATTTTTCAAAACTGAGCCATATATTTAATATTTCCCATAATAAATACATGTAGAAGGGGATTTTGAAAGACACATTTATCTGTTATAGTTACCTCACTATTATCCAGGACCAAATAATATTCTACGTATTTCTTATGTTCCAGAGCCTTCTGGTCTTTTGATTTCTGTAATAAATATAAAAAAGAAAATCACTAAAACAGCATCATTCTCCTTGAGAGTCATTCTTTTATTTGAAAAGTGTAATTTTAGAAAAGATTGGTTGATATCTGGCAATAAAAGAAAACAATATTACCATTTTAACTCTTAACAAGCAGAATTAGCTATAGACAAGCTTCGGTATATCAGAGCTAGAGGGACATGAGCAATATTCTAGTCTGATTCTTTCATTTTGGTAGAACTTAAATGACTGCACACCTAACTAATAGGTGTGCTTGAACTAAAACCAAAAGCTTTCGGATTTTTTGAACAATGGGTTTTCTCCACTATGCTGCCCTAAAATAGAAAAACTCTGACTTCAGCAACCTCTTAGTGTTTTCTTGTTGTAGTTGTTGTTGTTGGTAGTGGTGGTGGTGGGTTTAAGCAGCCTTCATCCCTCTCCTAGTGAGCACCCCCTTCCTTAGCAATGGTGCAATGCCCAGAGCCATCATGGCACCCAGTCTGCTCTTTTCTCCTCAGGCAGAGCTGGATCTCTTTCCCACATTCCAAGATCCCCTATTTTCTGTTCCTTTTTCTCCACAAAACAAAACAAGACAACAACAATAACAACAAGAAAAGATACATTTTATAGTGGATTGTTCCATTGAAAAGTAGCAGATACATTATTCATACTAAATAATAAACTATCAAAGTTTATTATGTTGCATTTCTGGAAGGGCTTGTCTTTTTTTTTATTTTATTTTATTTATTTATTTGCAAGATAGAGAAAGGGAGCATGAGTGGCCGGAGGGGTAGAGGGAGAGGAAGAGAAAGAATCTCAAGCCGACTCCATGCTGAGCATGGAGCCCGAGTCAGGGCTCAATCGCACAATCCAAGAAACCAAGTCTGATGCTTACCAGACTGAGCCACCCAGGCACTCAGAAGGGGTTGTCTTTTAGCAGATAAATAAGCTTCCATTAGCAAGAACACATTACTGAAAGTAGACTTTAGGTGTAGTCCACTAGCTAAACACTTCCCTCCCAGCCTCCATTGGAGCAGCTATTCATTAGCACTTACTGGACACCAGGGGTGCTAAGAGTATGGAAGTGAAGCTAAGGCAGTGAAACAGACTTGGTCCATGGGCTTAAGGAGCTCCCACTGGGCAAACAGGCATAAGTAAATCAGGTGGTGATTAGTGCTGTGAAGAGGAGTAAATGGAGTCACGTGATACTGAGTGCCGAGGTAGTTAGAATAGGTGGTCAGGGAAAGCTATAAGGGGTTGGTCATGCAGCAGACATATTAATGAGAATGAGAAATCAGGCAAGGAAAGATAAATTGAAAGATAACTCCAGCAGAGAAAAGAAATGAACAAAATGATTGTGAAGTGAATTGATATTGGCATGTTTAAAGCACAGAAAAATTGTCTGTGTTTGTCAGAATATAATGGGGGAAGTTGTCCATAGGAAGGGAGTTGAAGGAAAGGAGATTACAGAGGGAAGTGGGGCCCTAAGCTTACAGGGATTTGCAATTCACTGTCATCCCTCCTCTGTTTGACCTCCATATATTAGAGGCCCTCATAAAATCTCAGCCCTGGGTCCCATTCTTTATCTACACATTCTTCCTCAGTAATCTCCTCCTGTGTTATGTCTTCTTTAAATAGGAACTCTGCACTAATTACTATCAAATGCATATTTCCAGCCTTGGCCTCCCCTCTAAAGGCCAGACTGTTACAATTAATACCTATTTCATGCATCCATTCAAATGTCTAATACCATAAACCTAAGGTGGTCCAAATAAAACTACTGATTCCCAAACCTCAAACAAAACCAGCTTCTCCCTCATTCTCCCCAGCTCAGTTAACATCACTACCATTCATCATTTGCTCAGGCCCAAATCTAGAAATTATCCTTGATTATTTTATCCTTCATCTCTAGGAGTGAGTTCTTAGTGGGCTCCTGGTATCATATCACTGGTGGAATTTAAATCCACAGCAAACTGAACCCAAAAGAGATTTTCTTTTGTTAAGACAAATTCTGCCCAGTGCTTGTGGATGGTGAAAACATTTAGAAGAGATGACTGGATATAAAGCATCCCGTGAAGAATATGAAAGCAATTATGGCAATGACTCCCTATGGTTTCAAAAAAGCCATATTCATTTTTCTTCTGTGACTCGAAGCTGAACTCGTATATCTAAGAATATCCGCAGTTCCTCTGCACGTATCCCGCCTTTATTTTTGCTCACTGTTACATCCCAAGCACCTATGGAAGTACTTCAAGAAAGAACTATTGAATGGGTTCATTCATAAAGACAGCAGGATATTTTATGTGAAAGTAATAATACTTCATACCTTTGTTTTATTTTGTGGTATTGTCAAACTTGCCTGTTCCCAGAGGGCAAGCATTATATTTATATTTCTTTTTAACCCTGGCACATTGTTGTTAATAATAGTTAATCCACAAATACTTATTAAATAAATCATCAATGTACCACAAGGTCTTAGTGTCTCTATAGCCTACTATAGTCCTAGTAATTCAACCAAGACTATAAAGTTTCTGTTAATTGTAACTACTAAGACTGGAACCCAGGACAGCCAGGATAGGATACATAAAAGCACTGCAAATAAAATATGAAAGTATGCATACCACCAGACTGGTGGCAGGTAGAACCATACTCTGCTGAGATCCGTGTGCCTGTGGTATGTCATCTGTCCCACAGGTGCTGTTAGTCTTTTCCTCTGGATCATAACTGAAGAGTGCATGTTCCTGTCCATCCTGATTTGTAGGGCTTAAAGGTTCAATGAAGTATTTTTGATCTCCCTGACTGAAGTAGCCCCTGAAAAACATGAGAATCCTGGCTTCTTAAAAAATATTCCTGCTTTTGGGTGCTATAGACTTATAGACTTCAAAAAATTTCCAAGACCAAATAATTTCAAGTTCATGGCAGTAGAATATAGTGTAACTTTGCAGCTAAAGATACACTTAGAGATGATCTAAACTTAGTTTTTCTATGAGAAATCGGATTTCTTGGGGAGAAGTGACTACTATAATGTTACATAGCTAACTAATGTCAGTGCTGATGCTAGAATGGAAACTTCCTCATTCTCACCCAGTGTTCTTCCAATCTAATACCTCATCCGCTCTAAAGGTGCACTGAAAATGAAGACCTTGGGGTCTTATAAATAAGACTTAAGATTCTGGGTCTATAACTTCTTAGATGTGATAACATGGGAAAAATACATAAACTCACACTGCCTTAGTTTCTCGAGACCTCTATAACATGAGAATAATACCTACCTAATAGAATGATTATAAAGATTGAATGACATGTAAAGCACATGATCAACAAATATTACCAGCTTCTTCTCAGTTATCTCTGCTGAAACACCAAGTTAAGATACATTTAACCAACAGTTAGGGGGCACCCATTATTCATTAGTCCTTGGATTAAGGGCAGACAATCAGAGAAAAAAGTCATGGTTTCTCTTTTTATGGAGCTTATAGTAAAATGAGGAAGATGGATGTGGATCAAATAGTCACATTTGACCCCAAAACAATATAATTATATGACATATACGAAATATTCATAATTACAGATAACTGCTAGGATGAAAAAGCATAAAAGTATATAATCAGAGACTGGTTAAGTGTATACAGAACTAGAAGACAAGGATGCGTATGAGATCCTTTATGGTCTGCATAAAGGATCATGGTAGTTTGGACTAGGAAGTGGCAGTAGAGAAAGATTAGAGTGAATAATCCCAGTGAATATTCAACACATCTAATCAGTAGGGCTTGAAAACGGATCAAAAATGGGTAGCTGAGAAGCAAGATATCATCAAGGAATCTAGGTTTCTGAATTGGGCATGTGGTTAGTTGATCATATCATTCACTGAAATAACGAACACTGGAAAGACACGAAATTTGGGAGAAAAACATTATTGATGTGAGGTTTATTAAGATTGAGATTTCATTAATCTATCCATATATGGAAGAGATATGGATATATGGAAGACAAAATTAGATAGTCAAGTCTGGGCATCAGAAGAAATATCTCGGGGTGCCTGAGTGGCTCAGTGGGTTAAAGCCTCTGCCTTCGGCTCGGATCATGATCCCAGGGTCCTGGGATCGAGCCCTGCATCGGGCTGTCTGCTCAGCGGGGAGCCTGCTTTCCTTCCTCTCTCTCTGCCTGCATCTCTGCCTAGTTGTGATCTCTGTCAAATAAATCTTAAAAAAAAAAAAAAAGAAGAAATATCTCACTGTAGACAGATGACTGGGGAGTTATTAATATACAGAAGAAAAGCTGGGCATAGATAAGACAAGCCGAAGAGAGAGTTTAAAGAGGAAAGGTGGAGAAGAGCACCTATTCCATTAAGAGTTGGACTCAAAAACCTGTATTTTGAAAATAAGCAGACAAACAAACACACCTCTACAAGCAATTCAGATGTGTGAATTTAGAAACCACTATCAAGAGAAACTCTGTTTCCTCCAAATTTCAAAATCTTTGAACCCTTAGGATTTATATTTAACAACAGGATAATTCATTCTTTTTGAGATTCCTCAGGTTTATTAAAAACACACACACTCACCCCATTACCACAGGTATACACAAACCATTTATGAAGCCTTACCTTAGTCCCCTACATGTGCTGATGCTAGCATCTGAAACTTTTTCATTAATGATGTGTCCTTGGTAATAACAGTCATCCTAAAGAAAAGAAAAAGGGAGATTTGTAAGAGAAAGCACATGTTTTTAGAGACACTGCTAAATTTGAATTTGAAAGCTTGAAATAAGATCAATGTTTTCAAATAATTTTATGCTGAACAATAGTCAACTTAGAGATGTAAAAAAAATGGTCAAGAAGCTTTTTTATGGTTAAAATCTTTAATATTTGGTTAATTAATCCAATGCTTAAAGAACATTTACTAAATAAATATTGGTATTGCAGAAAAAGGATAATGGGTGAATGCAGTCTGGAAGAAACAAACTTATGGATAGAAGTTTAAAATATGAGCCCCCAAAATATCAGACATTCATTCTTTCCCTTGGCTGATTACTCATCATTTTCTTTCTATCTTTCTTTCTTTCTTTCTTTCTTTCTTTCTTTCTTTCTTTCTTTCTTTCTTTCTTTTTATTATCTTCATGGAAGTCATCCCTTTCTTTCTTTTCTTTAGCCACTGTATAGTTAGCCACCGTATAGTGCATCATTAGTTTTTGATGGAATGTTCAACAATTCATTAGTTTCTTGTAACACCCAGTACTCATCATATGTGCCCTCCTTAATACTCATCACCCAGTTACCCCATTTCTCCAACCTCCCCCTTTCTGTAACCCTCAGTTTGGTTCCTGGAGTCCAGAGTCTCTCATGATTTTTCTCCCTCTCTGATTCCTTCCCATTCAGTGTTCCCTCCCTTCCCCTGTGGTCCTCCCCACTATTCCTTATGTTGCACATATGAGTAAAATTATATGATATGAGTGGATAAAGAAGATGTGGTTCATATATACAATGGAGTATTTATTACTCAGCCATCAGAAAGGATGAATACCCACCATTTGCATCAATATGAATGGAGCTGGAGGAGATGATGCTAAGTGAAATTAGTTGAGTAGAGAAAGACAATTATCATATGATTTCACTCATCTGTGGATCATTATTTTTTTTCTAACACCTACAAGCTCTTTCAAATGAGTGAGTTATCAGGATTATGTTTTTATGTCTTAATTTATTCTAAGAGTTTCAGCAGACTAAGTTAGTGTGACATCCCCTTCTCCATCTGGAGAAAAATGTCCAATCCCAGAACTTTTCCATGTAGATGTACTTTAATCAAGCACACCTTTCCGCTTTGAGACAGATGAGGTATTGACATAAATATCTGTGCCATCACTATGAAGAGAATGTCTGAAGGCCTGCCAATAGAAAAATGGAGCTCAGAAAGATGGCAATGATAAAATACTCCTCACATGACTTCACACAGCCACCTTTCTAAATAAGAGTCAAGAGTAAAAAATATTTAAGGAAAACAGAATTCTATAATTCTGTTATTGAGGATATAATCTTGAATTGGAGACACTATATAATCTAGAGAGGTGATCGGTGCTGACTAAGAACACTAGATGTATTCAATTCTTCACTCTTCAAATGAAAATGAGAAGCTCCTCCCACTCTCTTATAGGGACCCCCTGAAGGGAAGCCCACATAACCAAGGGGTTACCATGGTTGTCAAGGAATGACTTTGTTCTTGTCAAAATGTACAAATATTAGGGGGTGTATTAAGAAATTACTACTTCTGGAAAAAGCACCATCGTTGTAAACGCTGTTTCATTTTCACTATTTGTCTGGCAATGACACTGCCCTTGGGTGTACTGGTCACACCCCAAATGACAGTGATTCTAGGATACTGTTTTACCATTATTTGTGGGCTTGTGGTGACCTCCTCTCCAGTGGAATTATAATGTGTTTCCATGTAACCTGGTGCAAGGAGATCCCTGGAGGAAAAAAAAAGAAGAAAAAATTTCATGGTTACTCATGCTAATTGAAAAGTGCATTGGTCAAAGTGAAAGCTTCCACTGGTAGTCTAGGAAAGCTTTTAACTCCTAAGCTCCTTCTCCTAAGCCCTCAAGTGGAGTCCAAGCATGAAGAGGATGCTTACAATGCAAAGATTGAGGGAGCTGAGTCTTTGGCATTCCTGAGTAGTGTGGACATTCCTAAGTAGTGTGGAACAGTGTCTGCTTTCTCATCAGACTTTGATACTTCTCTGAGGGGAGACTTGAAGAAGGAATGGGACTGAGAAGGGTAGAGTTGATTTAAAAAAATGACTGAAAAGAACAGCGTTCCTCATCAGTTTGCGATAACTACATTTCACCCAGTCCTTTTCAGTTCCCAGGGACTGCTAACAACTGTAGCAGTGGCAAGTTTCGTGGTCATTGACTTGCATTTGGTAGGTAGGGCCCTTCTGCCATCTTCACTGAGCTTCTCAGAATTCTTTCAATTACCTGACAGCACATAGGAGTCTGGATATACCTTTTAAAGAGGCAGGGCAAGGAGAAAAGGAAGTAACCAGTATATGTTAAATTCTATCTCTGTGCCAGCCACTGAGTTAGACACCTTACATGGATCATTTGTTTAATCATTTCTGCAGTCTGATAAGGTAAATATGACTTGCTTCATTTTTCAGATAAGATTACACAGTTTGAGGGGCAAAAGATCATATCTAAGTCTGCCTAAAGTCCACACCTGTACTATTTCTATTCTTCCACACCATTTCCAAAGTCCAGGCAGTTGTGATTTTTGCAAATGGCAATAGTTTATTTGAGGAAAAAAAAATCTTGCTGTATTATATAGAATGGTTTAGGGATTGAAAGAGCTTGAAAGCACAGAATTAGGGGAGAAAACTACTTTTGAAGTCATCGAGATATAGGATCATCAAGATCTGAGTCAGAATGGAGGCAGTGAAACTTGAAAGAAATGTTGAATGTAACTGACCTGAATGCGGAGAATGAAAGAACAAGAGGACAATATAATGCATGAGAAAGTGGGAGGATTAGTGTGTAGCTAGATGGAAGGAGCACTGGTGTGGGCATCAGGAAAGCCCAGTCTGGTTTTACCACTAACTTGTTCTTTAGTCCTTGAATTTATTTAATTATACATGTCTTTTTTTGTTTTTCCTGATGGAAATAGTTGCAAATTGTTTTAAACCCTAATCTTTGAGTATTAGAATAATAAACCACAATAATGTAGGGGGAGATTTAAAAATCTGTCTGCTTTTTCACAGAATTTGATACAATTATATCTCATGCATTATATTTTATTACTAGAAGGATCCAAACACTAATAAACTGTTATTTTACTCAATGTGTTTCCACTACTTTGGTAGAAACAAATATTCACCAACCCCCCTCCCCCAGGCCAGTTGAGAGAAAAAAACTTATTAGCATAGGTTTTCGAGATCCTTAAGCAGAAAAAGCCTCAATTAGCACATTTTCCACATACTAACTTGCTGTCGGTAAGGATATATCAGAAATAAAAATACTTACTTGTTTTTTTTCAAGTAAAGCACTGCAATTTTCCCATTAACTGTAATTTTATACTTCAATTCAGTTTCAAATTTTTCCTGCAAAAATGCACAAACATTTACTGGTCATTATAAACACACACAAATATTCATTTGGCTGTGTTCATCTTTTTAATCATTGGCAAACAATGCCTACTTTCTTTTTTTAAATTTTTTAAATTTTTTATAAACATATAATGTATTATTAGCCCCAGGTACAGGTCTGTGAATCGCCAGGTTTACACACTTCACAGCACTCACCATAGCACATACCATCCCCAACGTCCATAACCCCACCACCCTCTCCCTCCCCCCTCCCCCCAGCCCCCCTTAGTTTGTTTTGTGACATTAAGAGTCTCTTATGGTTTGTCTCCCTCCCAATCCCATCTTGTTTCATTTATTCTTTTCCTACCCCCCAAACCCCTCACGTTGCATCTCCACTTCCTCATATCAGGGAGATCATATGATATTTGTCTTTCTCCAATTGACTTATTTCACTAAGCATAATACCCTCTAGTTCCATCCATGTCATCGCAAATGGCAAGATTTCATTTCTTTTGATGGCTGCATAGTATTCCATTGTATATATATACCACATCTTCTTTATCCATTCATCTCTTTCTTTAATGGTAGTCTATATAGTTTATATACCAAATGTCTGCTTCTAGCCTATTTTAACAAATCAAACAACTCTGCCATCAGAATAGACAAATTATCTGAGACCTTTCTATCCATCCATCCACCCAGCTATTTTATAAATATTACTTGAGTGTTAGTTATATGCATGACTCTACTCAGTTCTGGAAATTCAACTCTAAGCAAGAAAAATTGACCCCTACTGTCAGAAAGCTTATAATCCTGTGGAAAGACAGACAATAAAAGTGATTTATGTTGCATGATAAGGGATATAAATATGAGTGCAATGTAAGCTGTCTAACATCTTAAGGTCTGGAAAGGCTTTCTTGAGGAAGTACCATGCAAGCTGAGATATGAATTAGCCAGGTGAAGCAGAGTGGGGAACTTATTTGAGAAGAAGGAATAGTATGTCCACAGACCCAAAGACCTCAAAGACTCCTACTGATGATTTTTGGTCTGAAGGTATTCTCATGGCTAACTGGAGGTCAGAATGTGGACAAAACAACAGGTGTATGTATTCAAAATCAGAAAGAAATTAAGATCTCAAGACTTCAGAAAGAGAAAATATCACCTCAAGCAAACCTCATGTGGAAAAGGAGAACCGTTTCGAGATTTAGATATACAAAAAGAGATACAAAAGACTGTATGTTAGAGAAGATGCTATTGAGTACTAAATTCTAATTTTATTCTATAAAACAGAGTTATTAACCATTGTTACACTCAAAATCTAAAAATTCACTGGGGAGTGCCACAACATTGTTATTAAAGAGATCTAAGTATGGCCGACCAAATATGATGGAGTGCTATTTCCTCTGCTGGGCTGCACCTAAGGCCAAGCTTTTCTTCTCTTCTCCCTCTCCTAGCCAGAGCAATACCTGAGTTCAGCAAGGGACAATAGTGCATTAGACACTTCAGGTCAGGAGGATTGTGCAGGGATGCGCCATCTCCAAGGTCAGTTGGAATGGCCCCACTCCCTTTAAATGGTTAGTTATTAGAGTCCTCTCTGATGTCAAAAGCTCCTGGGTATAAGTATCCTATACTGCGGGTCTAGATGAGGAGAGGATGCTGTAATTCACCTCATGTTGATGAATAACAGCAGCTGGGGGGAAAAAAGGCCTGAGGTTTGAAAATCAGTTATGGGGAATCATTGTAACCACTTATCACTTAGATTTAAGAAGGGCCAGATGGAATTAAAATATTAGGAGGATAGCAGATATAATCTTCTTCCCAGAAAAGCCTTCCAGATACCTATTTTCTGTTAGCAATGGATTTTAGTGGATTTTCACCTAAAATGTTATTTGGAGATTATTTTAGAAAAGATTATTGCTTTTGGACTGGAAGTTTTAGCCAGCACTGGCATAGATTATAGATGAAAGGAAACAACAAGGAAGAAAACAAGTCTTTATGAAAGAGGTTGCACTGGGTAATGTGATAACTTCATGTCCCTAGTAGAAGTCCATGGTAGAGAGAAATGCCTGCTAAAAAATAAATAAATAAATAAATAATCAATAAAAAATAAATCTATCCTCCTTGTGTGCAACCTGAGTCCTGAATTATGAATGAGGAGAGGAAAGATACACTTTGATTTGGAGAGTATCCACTAGAAGGCAATGATTAGGAGCCCAAAGAGTAGGGTTAGCTGGTCACAGGGACATAAAAATAAATGTCCTCCAGGAAAAATGCCATGAATAAGGTTGAATGGGTGGACTGGGAAGGTCACTATCCTGGATGTTCCAGGGATGGAAGAGAGAGTGTAAAGTCACAATGATGCCCATAGGCACACAGCAAATAGCAAATCACACCCTAGAAGTCCCAGGAAGGCTTAATGCCAATAGTACAACTGTTGTCATAACATACAGTAAGCTGAGGCCTCCAGGAACCCTGGCAGACCTAGCTCAGGCCTGAAATTGTTCCCAGTCTAAGGGAGGCATTGTGTTGCCAGATATTCTGTTTGGGGCATTGGCCAACAGCACGGAGGTTTGGCCTCTAAGGAAGTGTGTGTGCTCTGGAGGCAGAATCCTGGGAAGATAGGGATTACCTTTGAAGTTAAGTTCCCAACATCAGGGACCTTGATTAAGTATTTGTCAAATATCCACCTATGCAAATATATGGACTACGTACTCCAGTAGTATCTATGCAGTTATGGACAATGTACTGATTCATTCATTCGAACATTTGTCCATTTACTTATTTATGCAACAAATACTTAGTTTTCCTTACGCCATGCATATAAAATATAATTAAAAATATGATAATGAATATGGCATTCACGTTTCTACTCTGGCCTTGAATGTCCATTCCAGAAAATGTTTCAAAGGATCATTTCATTCTAGCTCAAATCTTAAGTAATTGGGCCAGGTGCGATGAAGTCAGAAGGATGAGGCCAGGCTCTTGGAATAGCAGACAAGAAAAGCCAGTGCTTCTGTTCTCTGGACCAGTAGAGGGCACAGTTGCTTAATAATAAGTACACAAGTCCTCCACATCTCCACTGCCTTGAGGAGTGAGTAGTCTAGACTAACTAGATCCCTTGTAACATCTATAGGATGCAGAGATCCCTTCAGTCACATGCAATCCAAAGTCTAGATGTTTCAAGTAATTGCTAATCAATTCCTTGCACAAGGAAGACCAATAGTCTCAACCGAAAAGACTCGAGGATAACTTCTAAGAACTTGGCTTTTATCTATAGGACAGTGTTCTTATTGGTCATAAGCTGTACCTGAACAAAAAGAGAAGATTCTATGTCAAAAGAATGTGCCTTCTGTGTGGCAGATAAGGATGTCCTGGCTTCTCTAACCTATGCTTATGAGACAAGTGTGATGTGGCAGAATTCAGTCACCCTGACAGAGCAGAACTGAAATATCAGACATGCAACATGGGACTTTACATGCATAACCAAAACGGTGGCTGGAATCAGAGACTACAAAGGCTTAGCCCTAGATGATCAGAGGGCAGTGACAAAAGATATAGGGTGTGACTGTCGCATAAAATACAGGACATCAGTTAAATCTGAATTCCACACGAAGTGAATAATTTTCTAAATATAAGCATGTCCCATACAATATTTGAGATTACTTACACTTAAAAAAAAAAAAAAAGCATTCATTGCTTATCTGACATTCAAATTTAACTGAGTATCCTGTATTTTTACTTGCTAAATCTGGTTGTTCTACACACAGTAGAATCTATAGCAGGAGCTGTAAGAATGGAAACTAGACATCTGTGACCAGGGTAAGGAGGTAAAATTCTGAAATACCAGAACATGGAAACCACTGGCTGGGGAAAGCAGGTCAATACTTTTGGAATGTTTCTTTAGTCAGGAATTACTTTTAATGGTTCGATCACATTCTTGCTGTGGGGTACTTCAAAGGCATTAAGCAGCCCCTGAGAACAATGCCGCTTGAATACTAAAAGGCAAACATGTCTGAATTACACATATTTGTGAGATGGCTGAAATCACTCAGTGCTTCCCCCTTTCCATTCTTCATGGCTAATATGTTACCTTCTACTGTCTACAACTGAAGGCAGCAAAGAGAAGTTTGCAAATATATTACACAAAACTCTAAAAATAAAAATGGAATTAAAGTATTCAAGTCATTTAGGCATGTTTTCCTTCCAATCTCTATGGAATTTGGTGTAATGGTTTTATTTCTTTCAAAAGATAAAACTGACATGTTTTGTAGGATTTTTTTGAACCAAAAGGCATTTATGGAATGCTTTTCATAGGACAGGGGTTGAGAGATGAGGGTGAAGGAGGGGAAGAGGCATGTTAAAGACGTAGAAAATACTTTTTTCTTTTTTTTTTAATTGAGCTTGGCCATTTTAAACCAGAAGAGAAGATTAAACTTACACTCACAGACATGCGGGAACATGTATGCACACACACACACACACACACACACGATAGTAAAATCAATATTAAAAGAAAATCAAGAGCCAAATGGTGTAACACTGACCATTCCTGAAGCATGGACTGTTCTATGTTGACTTCACAAAGAATATAAGATGGACTGGGCATTACATAAACGGAAAACATGTTATGTAGGGAAAAAAATCCTTAAAGGGCAGATAAGTAGCAATAAGTATATTATTCATAAAGGTCTTGAGAATACCAAAGCTGACTAAAAAGGAGGTTGTACCAAGAAGCAGAAAGAAGACAAAATGGCTTAGTAAACCATAGCATCAAGCAAAAGAGCCAAGATGGTGAGTCCTAAGAAGTGAAGTGTGGTGAGTTATATAGGTAGTGTCATAATATAATTTTGAGCAGGGACTTAATAATTGTATTCTGCTTTGCTTTTCAGTAAGTTTTCTCAAAATAGCCATATAAGATAAGCATGACTATTATTATCTCAGTTTAAAGACACAGAATTTGAAGTTCACTTGCATCTAAATTTATACAGAGGAAATTAACGATGTTAAGATGTTGAGTATAAACAAGACTTTTCAATTCAGATCCTTTACCCTTCCACTAGGGATCAGGAAAACCTAAAGTTCATCGAGAAAACAACCAGTTAATCGAGTTGTGGACTAGACAAATAATGTGTTTGGGATAAATATCAAGCACAAAGCATCAACTACATCCATGTACGCAACTATTCCAAAAATTAAGATTGATAATCTATGAGATACCAGTAACTACTCTACGGTTTTTCATCAAATTAAGTTGTTCAAAAGCTTAAATTTGTTTTAGAAGGAAATCACTTTATAACTACGATAAAAAACACTGGATGTGTATTCAAATTTTCCTCAAAATATTCAGTGACAAAATGTATCTGGCATTTAAAAATTTTTTTTATTTACTTATTTGTTAGAGAGAGAGCGCGCACACAAGCAGAGGGAGTGGCAGGCAGAGGAAGAGGGAGAAGCAGGCTCCCCACCGAGCAGAGAGCCCAACACAGGGCTTGATCCCAGGTCCTGGGACCTGAACCAAAGACAGACGCTTAACCAACTGAGCCACCTAGGTGTTCTGATATTGACATTTTTAAGAGAATGCTGGAAAACATTTGAGGGGACCATACTGATAAGGAATCCAATGCATAAAGATCCCATTCAAATTTAACAGAAACATTTTGTTGAAAGAATTATTTTGATAAACAGGGTCTACTATGGGTTCTGCTATTATAAATGTTTGCTTTAGAAGAAATCATCTTTTAGGAACCTTATCCAGTGGTGGGGGGTATGTACTCCCAGGGAGTGGCATCTCACAACATTTCTGCAAGTTATTATCTATGTCTCATTTATCTATATTTTTCCTGGCTCCCAGCAGAAAACTTCTGGGTGCAGGTATTTAGAAAATTGCTGAATGAATCACTGTGTTTTAGCTTTTATCATTTGACTAAGAATGTGTTTTTTCATTAAGTAATAAGAACTATACAAATTTTAATAAATTTCTCTTTAGAAAAGACAAAGGTAAATTTTATGTTTAAACATAGTAATTCATTCTAGCTTAATTTTCATCTACAATATTTTGTTTTCTACTTTAATATTTATGGTTTTGTTTGTATGTGTGTACATAGACACATAGATGATCAATCGATAATAGATAAAATAAGTTGTATCTAATCTCTTTGGAAGAATCATAAATTACCATAAATTAAAACTTTAAAGTATTAAAGTTTACTTTTTGTGTGACCATGGGCAGTTTATTTCAATTGTCAGAATCCTAATCTTCAAAATGAGACTGATAATAGAATACTGGGTTATTGTGAAGATTATTAAAAATAAGGTCAAACAACAAATGCAAATAAATGTCTATAATTAAATACATATATATATGTTATAGTTATATATCTATGTGTATATCATATGTAAAATATGTATGTATATTTTTTCAAGATTCTTCATTAAGTCAAAAGCTGTACCTGTTGTTCTGCCTCCTTGACTTCTCTTTTATGTACTGGATGGAGTCTTCTGGGATAAACCACTTCATAGTTCTTTACTCCAGGGAGTTCTTTGATAGCATTTACTGAGGGGGAAAAAAAGTAAGAGAAGATTTAGCAGAGCAGAACAAATAAACAAGATGGTTGGAAATAATCAGCCTTATTGCATTTCTGATGAATAATATTATATACAGAGGTTTAACTGAGTTATGTCAGAGAATTAGTTAAGTGTAGACATAGACAAAATCAGAAGTCCACACTTCCTTTCAAATCTTGAACCTATATCTTCAAATATTTCCCCGCGAAAGTGTTTCTCTATTTGGTAAAAATAGTTCTTCAGGATTTTTTCATCTCTCTTTGCTACCTTGAATCCTCTATAGAGGAATATAGCAAAGAGTACAGGCAAAAAGCTAGTACAGCAAGGCAAAAGCCAAACTAATCTAAGATACTAATCAATGTCGGCATAATTGTGTAGAAGTACTCTGAAAACTACAGTGTTACAAAAATGAAATAACTAATGCATGCCATTTCTGACTCTAATACTTTTTCTTATATTTTCCAATTGTAATGACTAAAACTAAGACAGTAAGAAAAGCTCCAGTATCAGCTCCATAGAATGCTTGGCTTTTGCAATACAGATAAACTTTCTTTTTTGCATACAAAGCATGAAAAAATGAAAATTAGAGAAGTAAAATCTAAAACATTTTTACTGGTCTGGAAGGAAAATTTTTGAGCCTGCAGTCATATTGAAAGAGAACTGAATAGTTATCTCACCCAAACTTCTATCTATATTTTGAATTGTTGTTACAAGTTATTTTTTTAATTTTATTTTTTGAGAGAGAGAGAGAGAGAGCATGAAGGCACACACAAGCAAGCAAGGAGGGACAGAGGAAGAGGAGGAGAGAGAATCCCAAGCAGATTCAATGCTCAGCACAAGCCCAACTAGGAGCTCCATCTCAAGACCCTGAGATCATGTTCTGAGCCAAAATAAAAAATCAGATGCTTAACCAACTGAGCCACATAGGCACCCCTCCACAAGCTATTTTTCAGAGAAATTCAGAGTTTTCCCAACGCTAACACTTAATTTTCTCTTTTCTCTTTTATTTGCTCACTTGATCAGTCCTTGCTCTGGGTAGAGTAATGGGTAAGGAAATGTCAATAAACCAGTTCTTTGGTTTTTCAAGGGGCTACTGGTCTACCCAGAATATATATGCAGTAGGAACTAAACTGTGGCCCCAGCTTCGCAATTGACTAACACTATGGACTGGAAAGGCTTTAGATCTCTGTCTCATGACTAGTGTGCTCTCTAAAGATAATCCCAGCTCATTAAATTACTCAACCCTAAATTCTATAGTAATATAAATTTGCTATTATTGTTGATCTTTTAACAAATACGAGTGAGTATTTCTTTTGTTAGTCATCTTGGATGACTTGTACATTTATCCCAATGATGCTCCAGAGAATATTTATCTTAAAAACTAAAGCAGAATCTTTAAAATAATTGTAGTTATGTCAATTTTTTTTATCATTTTAGGATGACTAAATGCACTTGACCTCTCAAGAGCTATTTACTTCTAACTTCGAAGAACAGAAAAAGTAATGAGCTAAAAACTCATTAGGTCAAAAATGAACAATTAAAGGGATGGAATAATTTCTCTTTCACTGGCTCAAGATTTACTTTTTTAACATTTAAATTCAATTTAATTAACATACAATGTATTATTAGTTTCAGAGATAGAATTTAGTGATTCATCAGTCGCATATAATATCTAGTGCTCATTCCATCAAGTATCCTCCTTAATGGCCATCACCCTCTTACCCCATCCCACAACACACCTGCCCTTCTGCAACCCTTAGTTTGTTTCCTATAATAAGAGTTTTCTGTGGTTGTGATGCCTGGTTGGCACAGCCGGTTAAACATCTGCCTTCTGACTCAGGTCATGATCCCAGGGTCCTGGGATTGAGCCCCACATCAGGATCCCTGCTCGGTAGGCACCTGCTTCTTCTCTATCTGCCATTCCCCTCGCTTGTGCTCTCTCTCTCAAATAAAAAAGTTTTTTTATCATTTGTCTCCCTCTCTGTTTTCATCTTATTTTTCCTTTCCTTCCCCTATGTTCATGTTTTGTTTCTTAAATTTCACATATGAGTGAAATCATATATTTTTCTTTCTCTGATTGACTTATTTCACTTAGCATAATGCCCTCTAGTTCCATCTATATTGTTGCAAAGGGCAAGATTTCATTCTTTTCGATGACTGAGTAATATTCCTGTGTGTGTGTGTGTGTGTGTGTGTGTGTGTGTGTGTATGCATGTGTCTCAAGATTTACTCTTAAAAACATTTCAAAACACCTTAAAACCATGGATTCAACCCTAGAATACTTGAACCTTGGGTTTAGTTCTAATTTATTAACTGTTTGAACAGACACGGCAGATTAAATGATCTTTAAGGACAGTTCAAGCAGTCTATGATTTTATGCAAATAAATACAGAATTCCTCATAATCTTTTTGAGGAAGTGATGATCATTTGGATAAATTTTTAAGTGGGTGTGATAAAATGTCTTATTACATAGTCAAGACTTCAAAAAGTACATAAGTTACCTCAATGACTTGTTGTTACAGAGATAATCACTGGGCATTTTTATTTCTATTTAATTAGTTTTTGGTAAAGTAAAATAATAACATTGTTTTATAAAAAATTATAACAAATTCAAAAATCTAGAGGAATATTATCAATCATTTTATTAACATCGAGTTGAAATGTTTATAATTATTATACTTATTTCAAAATAATAAGATGTCACAAGGTAAGAAAATTACTCTTGCCAGAAATGAACTGATGGTGTTGACACAATTCCCTGGAGCTTCTTGCAAACCCATAATACCAAACAAGCATACCGTAAGGCAACCACATGCTGTCTAGTGTATTGTGTCCATTCAATGCAATTAGTCCCATTAATATAGAGTTCATAAAGCCATATATTCACCAATGTTGCAACCAGAGTAACTCTTCTAAAAGTCTTGTATAAAAAGTGGTTTCATCCAATACACACATTATTCTGAGAGTAAATATTAGTCCAAGTTACCCTGAGGTCATAAAATAATAGCTAATCATAACTGATTCTTTCATAAAAGCAAAAAATGATAGCCCACACAATTTTCCCATTCAGAAGTAGTGAGGGAAAGAGGCCAATCCAACCACTGCAGGTTTTCTTAATATATACACTCATCTAATGAGGTACTGTATTGGCTAACATAACATAATAAAAATTATATATATATACACCCATCTCCATGATTCTAGTTAGTATCCAAATCTTAATGTTTTATGAAATCGGAAATTACCAATTGACTTAAATAAGGAGCCAAGTATGTAAATTAGTGGAGAAATTTTATTCCCAACTCTTTGATAGCTGAGCACTTCCCAATGACAAACAAAATTAATCAACAAATGAACCAGAGTATTTTTTTTTAAAGCTTCTGGGAACCTCTCCTTTTCTTCAGTTTGAAACCAACAGACTTTCAGCTCTTCTCAAACTCTTGCAACAGAGTACATTGTCTAAGAGAAACAGATAGAATTTCTTTTAATGGCTCCAATTTTTATGAAACCAAGAAAGCCCACGAAAGAACGAGACTTGAATTATAACAAATTAGACAGCCGTTAGAAAAATAGACAGACCTAAATATTGTTTGGCTCATTCATTCTTAAGGTTGAGGAAATGACACAGCCTCCTCCCAGCTGAATAACATCAGGCTAATTATTTTGAAGCCTGTGGAATAAACACAACTAACTGCCATCCAGGGATTATACAAATCTGAGATGTAACACAATATGTTTCTACTAATTCATGTAAATACTTGCTTTCTCTCTCCCACAGAACTCACATGTTGGATTACTTCTGACAAGAAAAACTAGATCAAGAAAAATAAAACCATTATTTTGGCTTGGGTTAGGTAATTATTTTACTGTTTATTAGTTTTTAAAAAGTTAAAACGCATTGATAAGATTAATACAACAGGCCCTGGTGTGGGTTGCTACTTTATTTTTTAATAAGTTTGGGGCAGTTTTGGAGTTTAGCTATAATGCATAATATTGGCATTTTCATTTTTGTTCAAATCTGTTCCAAACTCTTTAGAGAGTGTCTTTCCAGACTAAACACATGACATTCAGACCTGGATCAGAGTTTATTCAACATTGACCTCAGATCTGGGCTTCTCTGTATCCCCCTCAAACTATCTGGTGCTTTTAAATTTAGTGTAGTAAAAGTGAGTGCAAACATTGAGGGAAAACACATCCTAATTAAGTCTATCATTTTGGCTAATAAGATTAAATTATAAATACTTCTGAGGGTCATCTAGTCACCTTATGAAGACAAGAAAGGATGGCTAATTTGAAACAAAATAATTTCCAAAAGTACTATATCCCCTAGATATCCTGCTGGAATATCTTGAAGACCTTTCTCTCTTGTCATTTCCCTTATATTCTCCCCTAAACAACTGTCACTTCCCTTTAACTATTTGGGTTTTTTTTTTCCTATGATGAAATCCTATTATTTCTCTCAGGGGACTGTGAAGGACATACAAACAGCTGACCTAATTATGTTTTATTCTTTCATTTCATGTATACAGAAACTGAGCACAAGTCATGGTCTGAGTTGCATATTTTTTTCTTTGGTTTATGGGGGCAGATAAAAAGGAAGAGAAATGCAAATTCCTTTATTTTTTACATTCTGACTGGGAAATAAATCCATGTGGTAATAATATCAATGGGAATAATACCAAGAAGATAGTTGAAAATACAAGATGGAAGAGAGTGGGGGTGGCTCTCTGTTCAAGGTGGAAGATAAGGGATAATTGCCTATATGAACCACTATTCTCACAAAAGACACTGCAGAACCTCTGTTCCCACCACTAAGCCCTTGAAGATCTACAGTTTGAGGCATGATTTCTAAGGAAGCTGTCTCTTGGTGCCATGTTGTGAATGCAAAGAGAGGGGAAAATCAGCTCATATACCCATTTTTTCCCAAGATTTTATTTATTTATTTGACAGAGAGAGAGAGGGCACAAAAGAGCACAAGCAAGGGGAGGGGGAAAAGGAGGAATAGTCTCCCCACCAAGCAAGGAGCCCCATGCGGAATGCTGGGATCATGATCTGAGCCAAAGGCAGACACTTAACAGACTGAGCCACCCAGGTGCCCCCTTATAAGCCTAATTTTACTGAAAAAGCTGTCATGTGGGTGGACTTCAGGGTTATCTATGTGATTTTGTTAATAGAGCCTACTTGATCTTTATGCTGTTGGATAAAGCTAGTTCCCAAACAACTCTTATATTCCAACTAAGTAAAGGATCCCAAAGAATTTTTAGGGATAACACTTTTGGAGAACGTAAGGAAAGAAGATTTCTATTAAGTTTGACTCACAAAGTAGAAATTTTGAGTCAATAACTTAAATGCCTAGTACAGTTCTATATTTAATAATATTAAGTAAAACTTTCATAAGTCTGGAAAACAAATCAGGAAACAAGGGTGGGGAAAATCACTTTTAGTCACAAAGTGTTGAGTGAGTGCAAGGGTGAGGAGAATCTTTCCCTCCCTAATCTTATACTTGTTGATAACCTGCTCCCATTACTAAGTCCCTGCAAGCATTCTAAAACCAAAGAGAAGGTTTGTTATTCCCAGGCACTGAAGCTACTGTGGTGACTTAACTAAGCTCTAGAAATAGAAATAAGCTAAGGAAGTGTTGCCCAATCTAATCTAACCAAAATCTAATTGGTAGATTTCTCAGAAATGGAGAGACATGCTAGAATTGATTTATTATTGAAAAGTAAAATTCCTCTAGATTTGAATTCTTAAATTCAAAATGGAAGTAAATTATCAGCTTAAGCTTAGCAGCAAAATTGTTTTAATCAAGTAATAGCACAATGCTTTGTAATTATTAAATCGGTCAATTATTTATTTCTAACTGACATATTTATTATCACCAGTTATGGAAGGACAAAACACAAAAATGTGCACTCAAAAGGAATAGGACCAGCCAAACTGGTCCGGATAATAACAGCAGATACTTCTGAGAGCCTTCTGCACCAATAGCTAGTCAAATCCACGGCATCTCTACTGCTTTAAAAATTATAATGTGGGATTTGAGGAATTTCACGTTTTGACTCGAAGATCATATTTACTATTTAAATTAAATTATATGAAGTTTCCCCTTTGTTTTCTATGTACTCTCAGATCAGACATAACGATTCAAGATGTCTCCTTGCCTCTCCTTTACATTGAGAGTTTATATCAGTCACACTCCCCCCAAAACAACAGATCCAAACCAGCCCAACTGGTTAGTAAAATTGGCTTAAAAAAAAAAAAAAAAAAACTACTGAGAGACGATGAAAAGCAAGCAGTTCACTGACATATTTACCAGAACCTGAAAAGGAATCAGACACTTACCTGGAACTGGAGAAAGGAGGAAAGTGGTGGTCAGAAGAAGCCCCAGCCACATACTGGGGGAGCTCAGGGGCGCAGCACCTGCCCTTCACGCTCCGAGAGCACTGCTCCGTCTCTCCCAGCCTCCTCTCAAGTGAGACAGAATGACTCCCAGGTTCATTCTTGTCTACTTTGAGGAAGTGTTTACTAAAGGTGTTGCACAACCTTGGAGCTGTGGTCCTGTGACAATGGCACCCGTGGGCAGAAATTCTGGCCGCCTCCAGGCTTTAGGACTCCTCCTGTTTCTCTTTCCTGCTTCCCCACATTCCCCACTCAGAGGTAGCATGTTTCCAGTGTATTGCTATAGCCCAATAAGCTACCTTGACATAACTGGCTTTGATGAACCTTGGTAAATGTGTGTATTTATTATGTATATTATAAATATATATAAATATTTATATATGTATTTGCTATGTTAGCAACAAGTTGTTACAAATGTTCTTCTTCCCTCACATACATATGCTGTCAGTAAAGCAATTTCTAATCCAATCCGGTTATTACATAAAATTCTTTTCCAGTTATCTCGTATTCTATTCTCACACAATGGCGGCTCCAGGGAGCTTGAACTATCCTGAAATAAGAATGTGTGACAATACAAGCTCAAGGTTTATCAGATCCCCAAGGGCATTTGTATCATCACTAACAACCAGGAGTTTGGGAAAGCCTTCAAGTCTCAAAGGATATAATTTCCAGAAAAGCTTTAGGAGCTGTCATTGGTCATAGTGAGGCTAAGCCGACATGTCCAGATATCACATTGTATAACCAATTAAATAGCTAAGGTTGAGTTGCTTTACTAAGTTCCAGATCCTTTAAACTTATTATCATATTAATTGCTATGATACTTCTGTATGATAAATGTCATCACCCCTATTTTGTAGAGTAAAATACCAGCATTTAAAAAGATAAAGGATTCAAAAGATTAAGATTCAGTTATCCTTCCTTTATACAGTAAATAAGATTAAGCAGTTTGCCCAAGATCATTTATCTAGTAAGTGGCAGGAGTGGAATTTGAATTCAGTATTGTGTGAGGTCTTAGTCACACATTCTAATAGCTGACTTATAAACCCAGTCTTACTTCTACTGAGAAATCATACATATATATATATATATGAAATACAAGTACTGTTCCTATGAAATACAAGTTCCTGAGGTTATGACTAACACCAATTCTTGGTCCACTAAAATTAATACTAAATACTAAAATTATTAGTTATTCTATGGATTCCAAAGGATATTTTTGTAATACAGTGATTTTGATGAAAAAGGATTTTTCAAAATGTCATACAGCATCAACTAACAATAACAAGGGAATGTTTAAATCTAGTTACTGAGCCTTTCAGCTAAAAGATTAGGAATATCACAGGTTTCTTTTCTTTTAATTGAAGTTCCACTGCTTTTTCTTCTTCAGAGAACAGAAAGCTTATACCCACTTTTTGATTGTCATGTGATTTCCCCCCATTAATTCTGTGCACGTTCACTAGTACATATTACATGTAAGACCCTGAAATCACAGTTGAAAATAGTCATTCTCTTTGAGATGCTTATAGTCTGGTGAGGGAGATAGGCAAGGACAGTTACCATGAAGATGTGCAAACTGAGTGCTACCTGTATATCATAAGACGCTACCCATAGGGCTAGGAAAGATTTAGGCATGAAAGTCAGAGGCTACCCCTAGCCAGGTAAGGAAAGCTTTCTGGAGGCAGAAACAATGAGGTCAATGAAAAATTAATTATGAGAAAAAGTGAGGACATTATGTCATAGCATGCTAGTTTATGGTAAATACCTTAGTATTGCTGGAGCAAAGAGAGCCTGAAGGAATGGGAAAAGATCCTCTGTCTGGTTTTGTCACTGTGCAAGTGCTGACAATACTGACTACTGACTCCATATTTGGCCCTCCATCTTGTTCATGTTCGTGGGATGACCTCCCTTGGTGCTACATGTTCTAGGCCCCTTGGAAGTTAATGTGTGCCCTGATCAAAACGCAGGGAGGCTTGTTCTGGTCTTCCTAAAGTTGTTTACATAATTGGTAGAGATAATTTTGATTCCCCCCTACTCCTTTGCCCAATGACACCACAAGCTCCGTTAAGTGTTAGCGATCAAGTAACTGGATACAGATTCTTTGACCTCACCGCATGTCTTTTGCATATCTTCTCACTTCATAAAATCTGTAGACAAAAGTTTGGACTTTGTGGGGAATAGCTATGTCACTGTCTGGATTGTTCACCACCAGATTCCCCCATCAGGAAGTTACTCCGAATAGAACTCTGTGTAAACTCTGTGGAGTATCCTGGTTTGTTTTTTGGTCCTCAAGTGTCTTACTGGTTTGGAGGATACTCTAGTGCCCCTCCTCCATCTTCTCACAATGGACAAGCCAGCCAGGAGATTTTAAAAAAAAAAAATCAAGCTTGGGTTAAGGGGCCCTGCCCCAGGGAAAACCCATTGTCTGTGGGGGAAATCCCAAGCTGGACAGCCACCTCCATGTGGGGAGACTTGGCCAGGTTTTTTGAGCACTTTAGACCAGTACATGAGTACAAGGATGCCCTGAAAATGCCCAAGGTATTATTAGATATCCTATCAAAATTGGTGGGGGAAAGGAAATGGAAGAGGGAAAGTGAACAAATTACTTCAGCAGTAGTTCAGCCATTGTTCTGTGCATTACAAGACACCAGAGAAATGAATCATAAGAGACAGCACTTTGAACACTACCTCTCTGTCTCTTTGCTTGTAACAAGTAGTAAAAGGTTCTTTGCTTTCAACACTCCCTTGGGAAGTGTTTGATTTAATGCACTCCAAGCAATGAATCTTTTAAGTTCAGTTACAAATTTGGAGACTCAGATGGGACCTTTGACCTGACCCCTTTAAATTCCCCCAGCTCCCAGCAAGTAATGTAGCAGGCAGCAGCAGCTCACCTGATCAGCTCATCTGTATTGCGGGAGAACCTATGGGAGGGGTGCATAAGAGAATCCCTCTTGACACCTTGTTGGGTCTGTGCACCTCAACTAGCTGAACAGGCTCAGTGGCCACTCCAGACATTTTAAGCAGAGAGTCCTTTCAGAGAATTGAGTGGCTATTACCCTACAAATCAGCTTTAGGGCTCTGCTTCTATCTCAAGCAGCAGGAAAAAGGAACTGTCTGAGGAAGTATTTAAGAGATAGCCCTCTGGGAAAAAAAAAAAAAGAGAGAGAGAGAAAGCCCCCTTGGGTAAATGCACTGGTACATTGAATACATCTGTTCAAGTAGAGCCTAGAAATTCCCAGATGAAGGAAGTCAAAAGAAAATTTTAAGATTACACTGAGGATGATTTTAACACTCAAATGGCCTAAATGAGGTTCTTTTAAAAAATACCTAATGAGTGTATATGTATATCCAACTTGAGAAAGCTAGCTAGTAGACTAAACAAACTGAGTGGGATGCATACTTTGATTGGTACTTGGAAGTGTCTGAAAACACTGACAGGATAAAATGGAGCCAGATGGGTAGATCAACCTATAATGTCATTTGGGTTGCAACCCAGTTCCTTGAGGGATTGAAAGCAACTGTCCTTACCTTGCAAATCTTTACAAATACTAGGAATTGAGGCCCCAGAAACAAGTCAAGGCTTTTCAACATTTCTGGGAACACTTATTTAGTTCATTCCCATTCCTAAAATTGAAAATTTTAAAAAAGGGATAGAGAAGTCTTTTTAAGAAAAGTACCTCAAAATTTAGCCACAGCTTCCATGAGGTTACTTATCAAGGATAAATACAAATCTTCACTATAAGGTTTTTTATTTTGTCTGTCTGTATGTGATATTTTCTTCCTCTGGATGGTATCGCTTTAATTAATTTGCAGAAGAGTTCTATTTCACTGGTTAAAAGGCAAGCAATTGTAAGAATTGAGCTTTCTAAAACTAAAAACAAACAAACAAACAAACAAACAAAACCCCAGAGATTAAGTCAAATGTTTTTCATGTTCATGTGATCATGTGAAAAATATTCAGTAGTAAAGCTAGTTTCAGTTTGTTGGTTTAGTTAAAATAAGCATGCCTTTTAAGAGTTACAAACATCAAATACAATACAGATAATCAACTTTTAGTCTACATGAATTTATTAGTTAAATTTTTGTTGTATCTGTTGCAATTTGTCAGGAAAAATGATTTAACATTATAGTTGATTTTGTCTGTTTCATGAAGCTTTCATAAGTAATCAGTAGGAATGGTAGGTTAGTTCAATAGAAAAAATGCTTTATAGGTAAATTTCTAAATAGCTTTCAAAATTTCTGATAACCTAAATCTTCAAAGTTTGGCTAGGTTAAATGATAAATTTAATTGAATTCATTGGATATCTAAGTCTTTTCCAAATAAGATAAAATACTAAAACATTGATTACTAAACAAACATTTATCAACTTATGTCTGATTACAGATAAAGTAAATTTGAGCCTGTTAGTAAACATATTTTATGCTTTATTGAAAAATGGTACCATGGAAAAACACATTTCTGAGATTATGAAATATATTCATAAATTTGCTGATCCAGAGAGTTCTCGTGAAATAGAAAGTTCACACTTGCTTACTACTTAGTTTTCACTGAAATGTAAATTTTTTAAAAGTGAAGAATTCTAATAAATGTCATTAAGACTACTGGAAACAATAAGAGAAACAACTCTGTATATAAGGAAAGTAAGGTATGTGTTTTTAGTAAGAAATGTATGAAGAATGGGAATACATTTTTGTTGAGGGAAAGGAAAAGTAAATGTGTCATAAAATGAAATTGTTTGTTTGAGAGGGAAGACAGAACAAAATCTGAACGAAAGAGAAATCTGTAGAAAGTTTATTAGAAAAGACTCTTTGGGAAGCTCTATTTTTGATTTCTTAAGGAATCTCCACACTGTTCTCCAAAGTGGCTGCACCAACTTGCATTCCCACTAACAGTGTAAGAGGGTTCCCCTTTCTCCACATCCTCTCCAACACACGTTGTTTCCTGTCTTGCTAATTTTGGCCATTCTAACTGGTGTAAGGTGGTTTTAATGTGATTTTAATTTGAATCTCCCTGATGGCTAGTGATGATGAACATTTTTTCATGTGTCTGAGAGCCATTTGTATGTCTTCACTGGAGAAGTGTCTGTTCAGATCT